TCTGGTCTTCTGTCTGCCATCTTCGGACGCTACGAAGGCGAAGAGGGCAGTACCACGACAAAAGCAGACGCAAAGTCCAAGCTCAAGTCCCTCCTTGACGAAATCAACCTGCCTTTCTACAAGGAGTACGATGCCGAAATCAGCGAGATTCTGCAGCAGCTCTTCAACCGCATCAAGTACTGCAGAATCGACGAGCATGGCCCACGCATGGGTCCCATTAATAAGGAGTTCCCTCTTATCGAAACCTACTTTACCCGCTTGCCGAAAAACAACACAACAGCCAAGAACAAGCCGGAAGAGAACGTTCTCGTCAACAATGGTTGGGTCTGGGGCGGCAATGCGCTGGTTGACAATGCAGGCCCTGACTCACGCGTCTATCTCAGACGCGAGGTCATTGTCTGGGGAGATTGTGTCAAGCTCCGCTATGGTAGCGGGCCGTCTGACAGTCAGTTCCTGTGGGATTACATGACAAAGTATGCTCGCATGCTGGCCAAGTACTTTGCTGGTTTCCGCATCGACAACTGCCACTCCACCCCACTCCACGTCGCTGAACACATCCTCGACGAGGCGCGGCGCGTCCGCCCCGACTTGTACGTTGTGGCTGAACTGTTCACTGGTTCCGAGGAGATGGACTACGTCTTCGTGAAGAGGCTCGGTCTAAGCGCGTTGATCCGTGAAGCCATGCAGGCGTGGAGCACCGGCGAGCTAAGCCGTTTGGTCCATAAGCATGGAGGTCGGCCGATTGGCAGCTTCGAGGTGGATGAAATTTCCAAGGCGGACTCCAAGTCTCCCATAAGCCCCCTAAGCCCGTCTGTTGAGGGCACCGACATGCTCAACGGCAACAACCCGTCTTCGCGCGAGATCATTCGGAGGATCAAGCCGGTGCCCGTCCAGGCCCTGTTCATGGACTGTACCCACGACAACGAGACCCCTGCCCAGAAGCGTGATGCCCGCGATACCCTCCCAAATGCGGCTCTTGTCAGTATGTGTGCTAGCGCCACAGGCAGTGTCATGGGTTATGATGAAATCTATCCCAAGCTTGTCGATCTCGTCAATGAGACCAGACTGTACACTTCCGAGTCTTCTAGCAAGCCCGTCAAGGTTGGTGGTGGCAGAAACGGCATCGGTGGCATCAAGAAGCTCCTGAACCAGATTCATACACTGATGGGGAAGGATGGCTACGACGAGACTCACATCCATCACGAGGATCAATACATTACCGTCCACAGAGTCCACCCCGAATCAAGAAAGGGTTATTTCCTGATCGCACATACAGCTTTCCCCGGCTACGGCAACGGCAACGGTGCGTTCAACGCCGTCCACCTTGGAGGCACGAAAGCTCGGCACCTTGGCAGCTGGATGCTGGAGGTTGAAGCTGGCGAAGAGGCCAGGAAGGAAGTTCTCGGTGACAAGAAGCTCCTGCGGGGCCTCCCCAGTCGTGTCGTCGATGTTCCCGGTGTTCGCATGGAGGTCAAGGGCGACGACACGATCATCGCCGTTCGCGACAAGTTCCCTCCCGGCAGCATCGCTCTTTTCGAGACGTGGATTCCGGCTGCTGAGCACTCATCGGGTCTTGACAATTACGTCACTTCGGGCGCCAGATCCGCGATGGAGAACCTGAGCCTTGTTGATCTTAACTTTCTGCTTTACCGATGCGAGGCCGAGGAGCGTGACGGCAGCGACGGCAAGGATGGCTGCTACGAGATTCCTGGGTACGGCAAACTCGTCTACGCCGGTCTGCAGGGTTGGTGGAGTCTCCTCAAGGATATCATAAGGGACAATAACCTCGCCCACCCCCTATGTCAAAATCTCCGCGACGGCCAATGGGCTCTCGACTACATCGTTGGGAGATTGGAGCGCATCAGCAAGACACCTGACTTTGATCGCTTGGAGAAGCCCGCTGTTTGGTTGAAGGAGCGTTTCGATGCCATCCGTAGGATCCCTAGCTTCCTGTTGCCGAGATACTTTGGCCTTGTTTTGCGAACAGTGTACAACGCCGCCTGGGAGCGCGGCCTCGAACTCATGAACGACAACGTTCGCGAAGGCCAATGGTTCCTTCAGAGCCTCGCGATGGTCAGTGTGCAAGAGACTGGCCTTGTCAAGTCTGCGTCCCTTTGGCCGAAGAAGCCGGTGGCTTCACTGGCTGCAGGCTTGCCTCATTTTGCTGTCGAGTGGGCGAGATGCTGGGGCCGCGACGTTTTCATTTCCCTCCGTGGTCTCTATCTCGGTACTGGTCGATTTGACGAGGCCAAGGAGCACATCCTCGCATTCGCCAGCGTCTTGAAGCACGGAATGATTCCCAACTTGCTCAGCAGTGGGGCACTGCCTCGCTATAACTCGCGTGACTCCATCTGGTTCTTCCTGCAATGCATCCAGGACTACACCAAGTTCGCTCCCAGCGGACTAGACCTGCTGCAGGAGAAGGTGAAGAGGCGTTTCCTCCCCTACGACGACACCTGGTTTGACGTCGAGGACTCCCGTGCCTACTCGCATGAGAGCACGATCGAGGACGTCATCCAAGAGGCGCTCCAGAGACATGCCTCTGGCATGTCTTTTCGCGAGGCGAACGCTGGCCCTTCAATCGATTCTCAGATGAGCGATGAAGGGTTCAACATCTCCATCAAGCCTGACTGGGAGACCGGTATTATCTTTGGCGGCAACCAGCACAACTGCGGCACTTGGATGGACAAGATGGGCGAGAGCGAACGCGCCGGCTCCAAGGGTGTTCCCGGCACACCCCGTGATGGCGCAGCCATCGAAATCACAGGTCTCCTGTATAGCACCCTTAAGTGGGTGGCTTCCCTCAACTCTGATGGCAAGTACCAGTATTCTTCTGTGAAAAAGGCCGACGACTCGACCATCTCTCTTAGAGACTGGGCCAATCTCATCCGAGCCAATTTCGAGCGCTGCTACTACGTTCCCTTGATTCCTGAGGAGGACTCCAAGTACGACGTCAATCCCAAGATCATCAACCGACGCGGCATCTACAAGGACCTGTACAAGTCTGGCAAGGAGTACGAGGACTACCAGCTGCGCGCCAACTTTCCCATTGCCATGTGTGCGGCCCCTGAACTCTTCGAGCCCGAGCATGCGCTGCACGCCCTCTTGGTTGCCGACAAGGCCATCCGTGGCCCCACGGGTATGGCAACTCTTGACCCTGCGGATCTCAACTACAGACCCTACTACCGCAACAGCGAGGACAGCGAGGACTTTGCCACTAGCAAGGGACGCAACTACCACCAGGGTCCGGAGTGGCTGTGGCCAACGGGATTCTTCCTCCGCGCACTTCTCAAGTTCGACCTTGCAAGGAGGGGATCCGAAGCTGGACGTACTGAAGCCTTCCAACAGGTCACGCGGAGACTCATGGGCTGCAAGCAGATGATTCGGGAGAGTCCATGGGCAGGATTGGCAGAACTAACGCAGAAGGACGGCGAGGATTGCCCTGACTCGGTAAGTCTTATACATCGGAACCCCGACGTGTGAAGTGTAGGCTAACAGATATATAGTGCCCCACGCAAGCGTGGTCCGCCGGATGCTTGATCGACTTGTACATGGATGCTGCTGAAGAGCAGAGTGATAAAGCCAAAATTGCCTTACCTGTAAGGACCAAGTAAATGATGCGTTGTTGCGAAAACTAATAGCTCCCACTGGGTAACGTGTTCAGAATGGTAAAGCGGTTTGAGAGTTTCGAGAAGGATGATGCAGAGAAAAAGGCCCGGAATAAGCAAAAAGCCGAACGAACGTGATCGCCTGATTTTTGGATTGAGACGAGGAGGCATAGGGTATAATGGTATATAGATAAGATGCATTGAATAACCAATCATAGTCACTTCACTCAATGCCGCGCCCCGAATCCGGTGATTCTGTTGCGCTATATGTTTAAAAGACTACTTTTGGGGGGGTGGGGGCAGCATGATGAAATGTCAACCAGCTCGCAGTCTGCTGACTGACTGCCGTCGGAACATTGGCCTCGGAAGCCAGCGAAGGTTTCCGCAGAAGACGGCAAGACAAGCCGTATGGTGTATGTACCATCGTCCACTGTGCGCTGTTCTCCCATATAACGGCTCCGGGTGTCCCCCGCACCACCCCAATCGCCGCCGGGCGCGCCGGTTCTTCTTCCCCGCAACTTTCCCCCGAAGACCCGTGCCTAAAACGCTTCTTGTTGGGGGGCGGGCAGGGAGAGACTGAAAGGGATAAAACATAAACACACACACACACAAGGTCTTCTGACCCGTTGAGTTAGTGTTGTGAGGCGGGAATAGGAACGCGGTCCGAAAGTCTGCATGTTACTTTTGTTTGATCGGCCCCGGTCAGGCGGACGTGAATCATATCTGGTTTGCAAGACACATCTGCACACCCCACCGTAAAAAAAAAAAAAAAAAAAAAAAAAAAAAAAAAACCATAGTCGTGGGACGAGGCAGTCGAAACAACTTAGCACAGAACCAAACTTGCGGCGGCAGGTCTCCCCGCACCCGAGTCATTGCCAAAAGCTGCCGAGGGATAAGCACGGCGGCCCGCCCGAGGGGCCGTCGCGTCTCCCACAATCATGGACGGATGGATAGAAGCAAAGATGGATTATCATTTCAAACTCAGGGCCGAGCTCCGTGGCCCCGAGTGCTTTCCCCTTCCGTTTTCCGGACCGTTGGTTTTCCAAAAAGGCAAAAAAAAAAAGAAAGAAAGAAACAATACAAAACCTCCTTCTCAATAAGGAGAAGAGCAGAAGCCGCGTTCTGTTGCGTAACCTGCGGGTTTGGGTTCCCTCGCCTTCTGCTTCGTGACATCGACCTTTGCCCATGCGGCAACCTCTTCTTTAGTGATTGCGCGGTGAAAAAGTACAGTGACCGCCGCTCGTTGATCCCAATGATGGAGCTTACCCAATGTTTCCCGCCGTACGCCTATAAAATGACAGAGAGAACAGCGTGTGATAGTAATAATAATAATAAAAAAAGAGCATAAGCCTTGCCCATAACGATGTGTGTGGGGGAGGGGATATCCAAGCACTAAATGCTGTAAACAAATGAACGCCGTCTCGTTAAGCCGTTGGATGATGATGAAGGATACTTTGCTTCGCCAAGCATTTGGAAAGGAAGTTCGTCATGCCTATGTCCGCTGGTTGACAATCCACTTCTTCTTCTCCTTTGGGGGTTTCTCATCATAGGTCGCAGGATGGGGTCCGGGCATGAACTGTCCGGGCGCGTTGACGATGCCGGCCTGGTTGACGTCGACGCCGGAGCCGGCAATGATGCCACTGGGGCCCTGGTGGGCGTGCTTGCCGAGCTCGTACATGCGGTCCTTGCGGCGGAGGTAGCGCCGGCGCCAGATGCAGGCGCCTACCCAGATGCCGGCGATGGCGACTACGAGGATCACGAGCATGACGACCCATCTCCAGTGGTTAGAGAGCCTGTAAATGTGTTTGTCAGCAGCTATCAGAGATAACATTGACGGGTGGAGAGTCATACCAATCGCCGCCATTTCCGTTGGAAGATCCTTTCGAGGCCCCTTTCGTCGAAGTGGATCCAGGAGAAGAGGACGTCTGGACAGCGGCACCGCCGGCGACGGAATTACAAAACGAGGTGTACCATCCTTGGATACTGCTGAAGCCGGCGGCATCGCAGCCTGCGGGGTCACACACACCAGTGGCGGCAGTCTTGAAGGGCTGGAGGTTCGGCTGACTGCAGAAGCAGGCATCATAGACTTTGGCGTCGGCCGCCGGGACGGCAGGTGGCACGCAGGCGCCGTTGGCGTCGAAGAGCGGGCCGCACTGTAGAGCGCAGGCCGGCAGCTGCGCAAAGGGCATAATCGTCGTCGAAAGACCGGCTGGGCAACGTTCAGGTCCAGCTACATGGCAATGGGGCTATCGGGTGAGAACTTACACATTTTGGCGGTATCGATGACAGGTTTCAAGTGGGAAAAGTCTGGAGAGAGCTGGAGGCGCCGATTTGTGAAAGGAAAGCAGCGGGAGGAGTTTGGAGGATGTAGGCGCGGCGAAAGTCAACACGGGTTGTTGGAATGCGGAGTCGGCGGAAGTAATTCAAGGAAGGTATTTCCTCCTAATTACGTATGGCTCAAACCACGGGTGGCGGCACGGGTGATGAGATTGAGCCACAATCCGGCGAGTCAAGCTCAAAGATTGGCAACGGAATATAAGCGCCAATCACTCTCGACTGGAAGTGGTGATTACACAGCGTGTACGGCGCGCGTCCTCGGTCGAGATGCGTTCTTGAAGTCGCAAGGGTGTGGGTTTGACGATGGCTCCTCGGCGGCGGCGTCTAGTAGGTTCTCGTCCCAAGTCGGGCAAGGTTGAGCAGGGTCCAACTGCCGTCCCAGCTTCTGTCACACGTGTTGCCTCAAAGTATTGCAATAACTGTTTGATATCGGGGAAAATAAAAGCCAAGTTTTGGTGCTTCTTTCCACGGGGCGAAAATGGGTGCTTCTCTGGGTCGTTTCGTCCAGTTCCTCAACCGAAAGGGGCCGCGATGTTCAACGGGAGGCAGCAATGCATCAACCCGGAAAAAAAAGAAAAGAAAAAAAAGTTGGATCGGTTCGAAGATTTGGGAGGATGGGATATTAATATGGAAAGCGAGATTCTCGTGTGTGCAGGGCGGGCCTAAAGGTAAAGGCGTCCTCGGTCGTATGTATGTACGTTGTGCACGCGGGGGCGGCCGGTATTCCAAGGGAGTGGCAGCGATCGGGTCGTATGAGGTTTGACGATGTCGGTCGGGATAGTTGAGCTCGATCCCTCACACTACTGGGTCCTCCTCGAACGAGTGACGAAGCGAGCGGGCGGAGGTCGGGAGGAGAAAGGGAAATAGATACGGGGATCTACAGGGCCGTTGTCGACTTGTTGGTGGTTGGAGGAGAGAGGAAGTCGATGGTGGTGAGCAAGAGGAGGGAATAGGGAATTGATGACTGTCTGGACGGCACAAATCGACAGGGCCAAAAAGCAAGAAGTCACGGCAGGACAGCCGGGGGCCAAGGACGGGCGATGTACCGATGCGATGGCATGACCACGGGGGGGCGGCGAGGGAGAATGGTACTTTGCATGTCGCTACAGCTCACACGTGCTAGAAAGTACCTACCTGTCATGCCCTCTCTACCTACACCAGCTAAATTAGGTAGGTACCTAAGCCCAAGTACCTAGGTATCCAGAAGCGCCGCCAGCCCCAGCATACAGCTAAACAGTAGTGTCATCCACCACCACACCTTCCCCCCTCCATCCTCCAAAGCCACCACCACAACGTCAAGTACACCACGCTATATAGCACGACATCGACGATGACAACAGCAGCAGCAGCAGCAGAACTGACTAGCACGCGCTACAAGTATGGCCATCTGCCAGCACAAAGGCACAAGAGGAGGGATGAGCCCAGCCGGATTTTATGCGGGGGGGGGGGGAACACTAGCGAAGGGAAAGCCCCCCGGAGCGACTGGAGTCAGTTGACAGGTCAGCAACTGAGCCAACGACTGGGCGAGCGAGCCGGGTCTGGGGTTCCATGTCACCCTTCTAACTACGGAGTACATCGTTCCTCGTTTAGAACGGAGTCCCTGGTCGAGGGCGGGACAGGGATGGCTGCATCCTCCTGTTTAGGTTGAGGTGCAAGGGGGTCGAATTAACCTGTACGCAGAATGCACCACCCTGACGAGAAGCCCGCCCAGAGAACCCAGAGAACTCAGAGAACCCACCCCAGAAAGCAAGTGGGCGAGGTGGCTGAGGCGTCTCCCAGGTGGAAAAGAAGGATGCGACGCTGTAGCTCTCCAAGAGGTGGTGTTCGGGACGGTCGGTACAGATACCGCACACGTACGGATACACACACACACACACACACACACACACACACACACACATGTACGGTACTGTGTTTTCCGCGCCCTTTTCGCTCGTCTGGCCCACGCGGGAGTCCGTGGTGACCAGCTTGAACACATTGACGCTGACGCGCATGTCTCTGGCTGATTGGTAGGCGATGCCAGAGGGCCACAGTCCGGGCTGTGCAGGCGCCAGCTGAACTAGCCGGGGGGCGGGGGGAGAGGGCAGCCGGCCCAGCCATCTGTTGGAAGAAAAGGGCTCGGCCATTGAAGACACCCATCATGGCGCGGCACCCTTACGGCACAGGGCGTATACCGTGGCTTTCAACAGTAGCCTGTTTCCCGTCCCTTTGTGGCAGGGGGATGGGCTGAAGTACAGAGGCGCCGCAGGTGGTGTTGCCGTCGTTGCTGTTCTCGCGAGGCTTCGATGAGCTAGAACAGGAAAAGGGTGCTCCAAAGACTAGCTTCGCTTGCCTTATCTCTCTCCTCCTCTCCCATTTGCGGGACGTTCCTGAACCAGCCTTTCTCTCTGCCCCTTCAACCCGGCTGCCCGCTCGGTGGGTGGGTGGCTGGCCCATGAGGGACGCGCTGTTCCGAATTTAGCCGTCTCGACTTTCCGCCTTTGTGCAGGAATCTATGGATGGCGTTTGCCACGCATCGGCCGGTCGAGAACAGATGAGCGAAGGAGTAGTGTCCTTATGCATATCATATACCCTTTTTTACACAATAAGCTTGGGTAGGTATATTCCAGCACAACAGGCTAGATAAGTACGATGATGTATGACGGGACCCAAGCGCTTGTTTCCATGTCGCAGCGGCCCTGCATCGCGTCTCAGCGATCAGCGCATGCTTGTTGCTTGTTGCTTGCCGCAGACACTTTTTCGGGTGTCTTGAATCGAATCATCTAATGCCATTCCCGTACCTGGATCATCCTCTTGTCGTCCCCATCGTCTTGTGCATCCATTTTCAACTTCGTCCCTTGCAAACATGTCCCCTTCCCCTCCCGCCCCCACCGAGCCCTGGCCTCCGCTCGGCCTCCTTTGTCGGAACCACTGAAACTGAGGCGTGTCTACGTGAGGGAAAGGGGGGACTACGATGCTCGCGAATTTCAAGACAAAACACGATGGATCTGCTTTGCTACGTACGCTCTGTTCTGCTCTGTCCTGCGGTGTCGTGGGAGACTTTCTCGGCCGTCTCACACATCCACGCACAATTTATGGACAAATTAACTACTATGTAGTACGCACTCAGCGAAATTACTTGCAAGGATTGAGTCATCAACTGTCACCCAGCCCAAACGAGTGTGGCGCTGAAATGGCCGCTGGATCGCTTGGGGGCTCAACAAGGCGCAAAGGGGGGAGGAAAAAAGAAAAACATTGTTCAAGACCGAACAAAAGCAACTCGTCTCCGTATTGCTTGCTGCCAATTTCTGTTGCCGCAAAGTCTAAGACGGCCGACTGGTCCTCTGATTCGCTTGACGTCATGCACCCGGGCCTGAACGCGCACCGTCTCATTTCTTCTGCTTTTTTATGCTTTTTACTTGTCCTCGGCAGCAGGGAGCCGTAGACAGACGTAGGCCATCCCGGACCGGCGAGAGAGACGATTTGGCGTCAAAAAGGTGACGACAATAATGAGTTGAGAAAGGGAGAGACTGACTTGCGAGAAGAGTAATCAGCTACTTGACTCACTCACCCACTTATTTGTGTACTCATTCACTCACTCGCTCACCTTTGCCGCTTCGGCTTACCTTAACCCGCTTACCTAAGGACGCTCGTTCCTCCCTCCCAAAACTGGAAGAGCTGCACTACGCGACCCTTCTCCATGTAAACAACCACCCCGGCAGGGCGGAACAGGCGAGGAACTACCATGGCATCCAAAAATAAGTCTGCCCTTCTCAGTCAGTTGACGAGTCCCATTCAAATCTCTAAACAAACTATTGCTTCTCGCATCGACCGGCCCATCGCATCGATAAATTCACTCGGCATTCCGCGTCGCCTAACCCAACCTGCCTCGTCATGCTTCGAACTCACCCCCACCATGATGTATGCGGTCTGCTTGGCTCTCTGCCGACAGTGAAGCGACGGACGTGGTGCAAAAAGAGTTGCATGACGTCTCCATATCTGGCATCTCTCATGAGGGGGAGGCCATGCCAAGCTGCGCCGTTGGGCTCGGCGAGCCACTTAGATCGGATCCGTCCGAAATTCAACACCCCAAACCAGATCGGCATGCCAAGACAAAAGCAAACGCGAACTTGCCCTTGTAGAGGAAAGAAAGAGGAGTGTATGGTATATGTGTTGGTGCAAGAAGTACAGCTGTGACTTTCCATCCGGTGGTTCGACACGTACAGCACAGCGGCCGATACTTCTCCAACGACCGACACCTCATCGTCCCGCCCACGCCTTTCCAGCCGTCATCCTCGCATGCCAATGCTAAGCAGGCCGGATGTACGCCTCGGCCGCCTTGGTTCATCTCATTGAGTTCTGCACGTACTGCAGCCCGGGCTCACTGACGTCCCCAGCCACAGACTAGCTCGATATCCGAACCAGACGACGCTCCCGCCATTCGTACCCATCTGGCCTTGGACAATGGGTGCACGGATCGGGGGCCTTCCTTTCATCTCCACGATGATGTGGTTAAGTGAACGGAAATGCAGGTAGATACCTTGGGTCCAGCGATGATGATCTACTGGGAGTGCATTCAAATCTACAAACAGAGTGGCATACCACATATAAGAAACCTTTCCCCGAAAACCAATAAGAGTTCTCCCAGCCCGACCCCCAGGGAAAACCCTTCACCCTTGCATGCCTTCCCTGCATTTTCCGGGTTTCAGCGCTGCTGCTGCTGCTTTTGTGTACGGGACGTGGTGCACGTCGCCGACGCGCCCGACACCTGACGTCCGACACACTGTCCCGCCTCGAATCCGGCTGCCGGCACCTCGGCGATGGTGTGGAACGGCTCCTGCCACGACGGCTCCGTAAGCCACCGGTCGACGCAGTAGCTGCTGCTTCCGCCCGTCGCCGCCTGGCCCCGGCCGAGCGGCCGATACTGCCACGAGCGGTCCACGAGCACTGTGCTCGAGGGGGCGCTCTGCCTGCCGGACGTCTTGCTGCTGGAGCCTGTGAGCATGTCAGTCCGTATTCCATTCCAAGTGGGGAGGGGCGATGGCATCAACTCTTTGACTTGGAAGAGTTAGTTTGCTTGCAAGATTGCTCGGTCATTGCGCTGAGTTTTGAGGTTGTACAGCGAGGTGATGAAGCCGCTCTTTGTGTAGTGAGTGCCAGGGCTTATGATCAGGGGGTAGAGTCCTGGTGGCGATGGTGCTAAGGATGATGGGGTATTTGTAGATGAAGCTTTAGACTGCCAAGATGAGTGTGAAGTGAGGCTTGTCTAACAATCATTCACAGAGATTGCAATCTTCTTTATACTCTCTCATTTCTCATACAATCCCGTGGACTCCGAGGAGCATCGCCGTGACTTCCACTTTTCCAATACGATACGTCCGTACACGACGGGTCGGGCCCTCTCTTGATGAGCCCCAAATACGCCATAAGTTGCACATACTTCTCTTCGAGGTTCTTCAATGGACTCTAAACGGGCTTCTTGCCGCATCACCGCATGCCCTTTTCGTGCTTCTTCTTTGAGCAGCTACCAAGCGCGAGAGCACAAGTACGACTCGACTCGGACCACCGCGTTAGTGGGTTTCCGAGTTCGGTCTTGGGCTTCTCGCCGTCAAGGTCTCCGCTCTGTGAGGAGGGTTGCCGTGCGATAGTCGCTGAGCTACAGAACCAGCACCAAGTACAGCTTACAGACATATTTGCACCGAGAGCTTACGTGTGATTCACTAACCACAAGTGCAGATGAGATCTTCACGGTTCGACATGTAGATATCCGTTCCATTCGACACCCTCCTCTGGCCCAAACGACATTCCCATTGTCGGCCTCTAGCCCCTTTGGAGCCGGCTGGACGTCCCTTACCTCGCAGCCCTCGTGAGACTTTTGCCCAGGTTGGCAGGGTCTGACGCAAATTCTCTGCAAGGTAATGCAGCACTTTTTCCGAGTTGAAGCCTGCGCGGGGGCGTCGGGGACACGCCAGTCTATCCGCACTCCGCATCGTCACACCATGAGAGTATTGCACCTCGTCTCGTCCGAGTCTGGTGTTGTATACTTAGGGTGGCCGCGAACGAGTCAAGAAAACCCTCGACCTCTCACAGGGACATGTGGTTCGCAGAGTTCGTCCTGATGGGAAGGATGACGAGACGGGCGTCTGCCTGATCTTGCACGGGTAGCCGCCCCTCTGTCCAACCATGTTCGCATGACTTGGGGCCATCATCAAAGAATGGCTGCATCGGTATGCGTTCCATCATGTATCAAAAGACTCGCCTTCTCCCCCTTTCACTTATCCATTTTGTCACCAGAAGCTTTTGTGTTTTGAGACGTGGCCCCTGGAATAGCGCAGGCTAGGTGTCGTTGACCCAAACACTTTCACAACACATTGTTGACAACGGAGGCGGACTTTTCAATACTCGGAACAGCATGAATTCCGATAAGTACATTGAGAGTAGTACGCCGGAAGCTTCTGATGCCCTGGAACAGCCGTGCTGATGTGGTGAATCTATCCTTGCCTGGCCGGCCAGGTGCTACCTTGGCAGGAAGTGTAGCACAGCATAATCAGGCGTTATAAATGAGACTCGGAGGCTTGGCGGGCATTAAGCCTTTGGAAGGGCGGTGGTGACAAGTTAGGGGCCTTATCCGGCCTTGTATAGATAGCAAATTAGCGGAAGGCTGTAGGAAAGCATGAAAGAAGAGCATTTAGACTTGTGTTACAAGCCTTCCTTTCAAGACGCTGTAATAACGAACACCAGCTACCTAATCGGAGATGCCTCTACTGAAACAGGAGGGCTTTTAAAACGATGGGAGGGGGGGCGTGTTTGTCGAGAGACTGACCGTCGCTTCAAACTTCATTCTTGATTCCTCGCTTTATCCGTGCCAGTCAGCCCAATTTTTCTTCCAATACCGAAACATGTGCCGCCGTATTACACCACAACAAGCCAATTACGGCCCAACTACATTATCAAGAGTACCGCATCGCCAATCCCAGCTCATTCGCGAAAAAGAGCCCAGATCTTCAAGTTCCTCACACAAAGTGTCGCTCCGCGGAGCCGTCTGAAATAAAACCCGTCAGCCCCCCTCAAGAGTTGGTGTCACGTGCTGTAAAACTGCAAACCTCATGGCTTCAGTACCAGAAGCTCATAAATAGGATACCACAGAGGCGATAATTATCTGAGAAAATCTCTCCTCGTAAGGTCGCGGAGAGACATCTAGAAGCAAGCTGAGAGGCTTCTATGTTGCTTGTTATCTGAGAGAGAAGCTTTTGCCGAGATACGTTCGTTGGGAGACGGGAAACCTGCTGTATGACGGCTGGCCTCCGGCTAGCGAATTTGATCCCCCTGAATTTGATGCTTCACTACCACGCTTAAATGCCGAGCCGCCCATGCCGGGAGATTTGGTAGATAGATTTCGGCAGGCTCGTCACGAGTTTTCAGTTGAACTACCGCGATGAGCCATCCAAGTTCATCAAGCATGGCCATCAATTCATTCAGCTCTGGAAAATATCCACTCCGTGTCTCTTCTTAATTCTATCTAAGGGTGTCGTACGGCTGTCCATACTCCGACTCACCGGCGAAAACCCTCAGGTTGAGACACAAGTATCAACCTATGGTTCTGGGATCGGAAAATAGACCTGTGGGCGAAATGAGGAATCCCAAACGACTTGCTTCACAGCGAAGCTATGCTTATCCAAAATCGTTTGCAATGGCTTGTAACGTCGGAAAATCATAGCAAGGGGGAGCGCGGCGCCGGTGCAGCCCCGAAGTATCCCGCACATACAAATAAATTGCGCTTTTGGCATCGAGAGCTTTGTGCTCCACTGGGGGAATGGTAGAATATAGGATAACTGTGAACCTGGGATGTATTAGGGGCATTCGAATGGCCTTTTTGGTGACTTTCCCAACCAGACAAGACTTGACGGCCAGACACGATGGTAAGGGCGATGATTCCCCATTTCGTTTAACGTCGCATATGATGGTGTACCCGAAGCCTGTTGCGGAGAACATTTGCGCCCCTGCAAGCTATCACCTGTTCAATTAGGTACTACCATGAACGTAACGCGCAACGAAGTCCCGCTATCTCAGCCTGGTGATTCGTGAAGAGTCTCTACGTCTGTACCATGAGCATCATGTTCATGGCCAAAGTCGATGGGGACTGTACAAGATTTAGTCTTCTCGTCACATCATCGAAGCTGAATTGTTGTATATAACATTCTCAGGCCACATTCAGCTGCAAATCTAAAGAAGCCGTACTCTGGCGACAGAGGGAAATGGTGGAGCTTGGGAGCGCTGTTGGCGCACGTCTTCTTCTTAGATGCTCTAGAATGGGAATTCAGTCAAGAAAGCTACTCAAGAATCCATGAAGAAGGATGTCGGGTATTGTGTATTATATGGCAACCGAAGCAAGCGACATTACAGCCAGCGCCGTCTCCTTCATTTCGAGCCCAAACCCGGAAGATCCTCAAGCGAACATTTGAAATGGATAGATCGGTTCTTCTGGATGGTGCCACAAGAAGATGGATGTTTCAAGCCAAGCCACCTCAGCGTCTGTCACCTTGTTTTGGATCGCTCCGAAGAGTCATCGCCAAATAGGTGAAGAAGTTGTGATCCCTGCCGTTGTCTACTCTACCCCACTGCACCCTTACTTCTAGCATCGCCCTGCAGTGTGGGATCAAATCACGTAGTATTGGATTCCTGCCTTTTAAATGGGCCAATGGGCAAGTTAGCCAACTACGCATCTGACATTATAAGCAGCTGTGCCCACTTCAGCCGATAGGTTACTACATGTTGCATCCTCTTTGACAAAAGTCACCCACCTACGTGTGGCACAAGCGTTTGACAGCGCTTTTGAATTGTAGTGTGCACTTCAATAGGCATGGTTGTTTACTTCGGCAGCCGGGGCAACTCCGTGTCCAAGGCAGTCAAGCTAGAAGACACCATTCTGGGGTTCAAGTCTTGGCCAGCCAATGCAGTGTAACCAGCAGCAGTGGAATGGCAATGGGCTGCCATTCAGGCTAATGTGGAAACTGCCGCATTGAGGCGATGTATGCCATAGTCTTGACGGTTCGGGTTCGACAGCAAGCGTCTGGAACGATGATTCAGTGGCTCTCACAATTCCCAGCAGGTAAATATCCCGCGATTGCTTACTACTGGTGGGAATTTGGGTGATTCGGATCGCTCCGTCTGGAGTGAGACTGGGCGCAACAATAACGCCCACCATTCGCGCTCCTCTTTTCAGCCCATTACTGACATTGCCAAGCTGGTTCATTTCGGACACCAAGGGAGATAAGCCTGCGAACAATCAATTATCCACCCTCCTCACCTCGCACTATGCCAGGCACAGAAGAGCTCGGAGTCTCTTCCGCATCCTCAAATCGTTAGTCAGATATGGTTACATTTCCGTGGCACTCACTTTACTGGTACTGCCCCTTCTGACCTCACGTGGGAACTTCGGCGACCTGGCTGAGGACTGCTGAGACCTTTAGGCGAGATCACAGAGCAGGCAAGATCTGGTCCGGGTAAAAGGATGAATGTCGCCACAGCAAACATGTCGCTGCTGAAAGCTGTCGTGTTCACCGCCCAAGCTAACCGGGACTAGGCGAGTATTAATTGGCAAATATCACCACACCCAATGGGCCGGAGGCACATTCAGCGTACCAAAACCAGGAAATCTAGCCCGCTGTGGACAGCCGAACTGTATGACAAGAGCAAGGATAGGCGATCAACGCCGTTCAGCGTCGCCCTCCATCATACCAAAATGCTATGGTCGGCTCATCTATAAGTTTGGCTCTTCTTCCGCCTCAAATTAAAGTTGATTGCAACGTGGGTGGTCATACACTTGTCTGATGAGAGTAGTGTTTCTTCCGACTGTTGGTCATTGCTCGAGTTGACAAACATGTACGCCAAGGCTCTCATTACGGTCTTCCTGGGCTCCGGCCTCGTCTCGGCCCAGCTCAACACTCTTGCTGTCCGTGCTGGCCTGAAGTACTTTGGAACTGCTGTCGGCGAAGGCCAGGTCAACGATGCCACCTACAGAGCCGTCGTGAATAACAAGAACGAGTTCGGCTCCCTGGTTCCCGAGAACGGGCAAAAGTGGCAGGGTACCGAGCCCAACCGCGGCTCGTTCTCTTTCGGTAATGCAGACATCGTGAGTCGCATCTCCCTGTTTATATATTTCACTCAAGTCTCGCGGGAGTATGATAGCTGACGAATAACTACTTTACAGGTTCCCAACATCGCCAAGGCAAACGGCCAGATTCTGCGGTGTCACACTTTGACATGGTGAATATGCCTGTGCTCTGGTGTCATTGAATGCAGCTTTGAACTGACAATCCACAAGGCACTCTCAGCTGCCAAACTGGGTTTCCAGTGGACAGTGGACCGCCGCTACCCTGACGTCCGTCATCGAGACTCACATCTCAAATGTCATGAAGCATTACTTGGGCCAATGCTACGCCTGGGATGTTGTCAATGAGGCCGCCGACGACGACGGCAGCTGGCGCAGGAGTGTCTTCTACAACGTGCTCGGCACCAGCTTTCTCCCTATCTCCTTCAGAGCTGCCAAGGCTGCCGATCCTAACACGAAACTGCAAGTCTCCTGTATCCTTCGTTGAGAACTATGCACAGTCGCTTACATCAATTAGGTACTACAACGACTACAACCTAGAGTACAACGGGGCCAAGACCAACCGCGTTTACGAGGCCGTCACAATTGTTCAGAATGCTGGTGCGCCTATCGACGGTGTCGGTTTCCAGGGTCATCTGATTGTCGGCTCAACCCCGAGCCGCAGCGCCCTCGCAACCGTCCTCCGCCGTTTCACCGCACTCAACCTCGAGGTCGCTTACACCGAGCTTGACATCCGACACTCCAGTCTCCCGGCCTCCTCGTCTGCCAAGGCGACCCAGGGCAACGACTACGCCAACGTCGTCGGCTCATGTCTCGATGTAGATGGCTGCGTCGGCGTCACCATCTGGGGCTTCACGGACAAGTACAGCTGGATCCCCGGGACCTTCCCCGGCACGGGCGACGCCCTCCTCTGGGACTCGAACTACAACAAGAAGCCGGCCTACACCTCCGTCTCCTCCCTCCTCGCCGCGGCGGCGACTGGTGGCACCCCCCCGCCCCCTGCCACCACTACCGCCCCCGGCCCTGGTATCACCACCACCGCCCCTGCTCCCGGCCCTACGACCTCCGCCCCTGGCGGCGCTCAGTCTCCGAAGTACGGCCAGTGCGGTGGTCAGGGCTGGTCTGGTCCTTTCGCTTGCGTCTCCGGCACCACCTGCACCTTTGTCAACACCTGGTACAGCCAATGTTTGTAGACTACGCCCTTCTAAGGCGGTAAACAGTCATTTGTTGTCTTTTTCGCTCCCTGTTGAGGGGTCAAAGACAAAGAGGGCTGCAATAGTCGATGAAAAGGGATCAATGTACTTGGTTGGTGAAAATACCGTCCACATAGCTGGGCTTACAAAATATATATATCTCGTGCTCCTATGTATTCCTTCGACCAGCCCAAGGCAATATATTTAGTCATCGGAGGGATGACAGCTCTTGGTCAGAAAAGACTTTAGAATCAAGCAGATGGCATGGCTTATGAGCACTTCTGCCGTCAATGAACCATGGTCATAATGATACAAAGCTTTTCAGGCTTCCGTTTTACACGCTGACACGATATCAGTCTAGCCCGTTTCACATGATATCAACATACTTCATGAGGTCCCGCTTAAACCAGTTCGAGCACCCCAAGTGTCGACTCAGACAAGCTCCAAGTCATTGCATTTATTGAAGATTCACCGGCCCCATCTTGCTAAAGTGTTTGGAAGCTGGAAAAAAGAAAGCCGTGAAGGTCTGGTTCATTGATTAAAGATGACAGTTCTAGGCAATACATTTCATTCCCTCATGTCAGAATGGCTACGTATAATTATTACACGACCGCATTTGACCAAGATGTAACTGCATCGCTTGTGTTCAGCTCCCATCATTGACCGGGCGGTCCCTGTGTGTATGTTCATATCTTTTTTTTTTTTTCGGCATGAACCGCTGAAAAAACTCCTAGTATCCGGTCTTGTTAATATCGTACCAACATCGAGTGGAAGGGCTTCCTATATGACCAAAACATGTAGAGATTTAGAGCTTTGAGCCCGCACATGGCTCTGGAAGCGAATTTTTAGCTTTCCATCCGATGAGGAAATTGGTATTGATTGGTATTCAATAGAATAAAGCTAAGTTTTAGGATAAAGGACGACGAAATTAACAATGATATGTAGTCTTCAACCATATGAGAGAATTCTTCACACTAGCAAGTTTTCAAATCATCTGAAATAAACATGGCGTTTCAAAAGCATCTTGAAGTATTCGGGAAGCGCCAGCAAGGGCAATATCTAAGTTTACTCAACGGTGGGCTTGCAGCTAAGCAAACGAATTCACCTGCATCAGATTCAGCCAGTAAACAAGATGCCCAATCTAAGCTAGTTTTGCTGTAAACACCGGTAGCAGCCAAATGTATCCAGGTTTTTTGTTTTTGATTTTTTTGCCCCTAGTTTCTTCTTTTTCTTCGTCATCTTTGTTCCTTTCCTAAAAAAAAAGAAATTTCACAAGAAAAAACCAGGGCAGAATTCCGCCACTGAGTCTCTCTAGAATACCTAGATACGCACCACAGAAGGCCACTGAGAGAAATTTTCACTGCTGCTTACGAAGTTTTGTCTGGCTTAATGGTTAAAGCATTGTTTAAACTAAATCTCCTATTTGTTCAACACTTCCGCTGAAAATGAGCAGAGGCTGACTTCCAAACCTTGAAGCGAATTCATTACTCACATAGCCTAAATGAAATCAATAGTCTGCCTGAATGGTCAGAAAGCACGTACATGCTTTCCTTCACTCAACATCGCGGACGGAAACTCTAATTTGCTGGGTTCACAAAGACATAGACCGGTCTAAGTAATTTCCATTTCGTCTACGTGACTGCCGTGCTTCTCATAGCTTGAAGCACCTCAATCGGCTAGAAGGAACATGTGGCCCCAGCAAATGATCTGCATGGGTTTATTGCTGTCAATCACAAAGCCGGTGCACAATAGATCGGAGGTCAACCATGGGGTGTGTCCGTACGTTCTAAACACTGCCAGGATGGGATAAGTGAGCTAGTGGGCTCTTAGATTCGGATTCTGGGAGGCTAATTGGTCGACTTCGCGGAAGATGACACATAAGGCTCTCTATGACCTTTCCCCTGAGAAGAATGACTCGATAAGATCGCATTGTCTAAGACAACATGGTAAGTCTTTGATTGGGCCATCTCAAATTTAAACTAGAGCGACCACCCATAACGTCTAGTGCGTCGGTTGGATCTGGGGCCGGAGAGCACAGACAAACGGGTTGGAAGATCGTCAAAGCTAAACGAGAAAACGAAAGAGCGGAAGGAAGCTGAGTCGAAATAAGCACCTTGCCTTTTGGGTGACGGGGCTTTTGAATCTGTTGTATCACACTCAAGGAACGCCACGATCTGAACGAAGGGTCAGTCGATTACCTATGTGGACCTGGGCCAACGGGATTCGCTACGGGAAGAACTGGGCTTCTATATTCCTTTGGTATTCTCACCAAGCATGTCATGGTTCAAGCGGGTCTAGCAATACTCAATGGGCGAGTCCCATCCCCACAAGTGCCGATACAGTTGTATTGAGGCTTTCCTTGGCAGTGTCGCGATTCGGTTATGAAATATCCCTATTATTCTTCTTTCCATTCAGTTTATGAGTCTGATCGCCTTGTCTTAAAAGTGTCATGATCCCCCTTTTTATCAGTACATCAGAGAAAATTGGCATTGCGACAATTTTTTACCCTTACTCCTTTCATCTCTCGTCATTACACCACTTTGTCACAACCATGGATCCCGCAGCGTTGGTTGGTCTTACAATCTACAACCTCCCACCTATGCCCCCAAAATGGGATAGAATAGGCATTTTCTACGTCACGTTTTGTGCGACATGGACGGCCATTGTACTCGCTGGGATGGCCTTCCTTTGGGCCAATCGCACACATCCCATCCTGAAGATCAGGGGTTTGCCACTGGCTTTCGGTTCCATAATATTTCTGCACATGTACTGGTGCATGGCCCAGATCACATACCCGATCGGTGGGACAATGCCCGTGGTAATCGCCTACGATGTTCAGTATTTCGTCATGGGAATTTGGTTTCCCTTGGGTATCGCCTTGTTTCATGCTTCCAACAGTAGATTTCTACATGTAGCAAAGCTGCAAAGACTTCAATTCACGGACAACGGGGCTCGCTATGAACAAGGATGCAACGGTAGAAAGAGTTCATGGCTCTGCAGGTTGAGGAACATGGAATATGGAAAGAGACTCATGATATTTATCTGGGTTGGCATTGTAGCACAGGTAAGCCCTTTTGAAAGCTTACCCACGGTTGATTAACAGACCTGACTGAGATTCCTAGTGTCTTCTTACTACTGGCATGTGGTTGGCGTGCAAGAAATACCACCCGACATTCGGCATTCCGGGAACAGAAATACGAGGGGAAACTCTTCCAGAGCAGCTCATCGAGTTGGGCCGAGGATGGGAATGGTGGCCAACCATTATCTGGCAGTTTGTCTGGACTTGGGTCGTACGTGATTTCCCATGATGGCCTCTATAATTGTGGCACCCTCTGGCTATTCACGGTTGACGTACGCCCAGGTTGCGCCGATTCTGATTTGGAGAGCTTGGAGTATCCGAGATACTATGGGATGGCGAATACAAACCGTTGGTTGCTGTCTCTCGAGGTTTGTTAAGGCTGCGTGTTTCCAGACGTTCTGCAGTTTTGCTGACATTCATTTTAGTCTCCACGCAACTCCCATGTTTCTTATTGCATCATATGTACCAGCCTTTAACAAGATCAATATGTACTTTACGCCAAGCCAGTGGTAAGTACCGCTTCGTATAAGGAAAACCTTCAGTTCCTTGCTACTGATTAATAAGGGCAGGATCCATCTTTCTACCATGATGTTCGAAATCTTCACCATATTCATCCCGCTTGTTCAGCTTGTTCGTCTTCGCATCCAGACAAAACACGTAACAGATGCGAATGCAAGGTGGGAGACGGGATCGCAAATGACCTTTAGGCCATCCACTGTAGTTTCATTCTATGGTACCAAGAACTCTCCATCTTCCAGCCAGGAAGAAAAAGCCCAATTGGCTCTCTGTCAATTGAAATATTCCGATATAGGTTCCGAGCCGGACAGCCGCCTGCTGACAATGACTGCCCTCGATCACGCTCTTAGAGAGAATCGGAGTGGGCTGCAGGAATTCTCGGCTCTTAGCGACTTTTCGGGAGAGAACATAGCATTCCTGGCTCGTGTGTCTGAGTGGAAATCTCATTCGTGGCCTCATACACTGTCTGGTTCCAAATCACAAGAGTCTCTTGGCGAGGATGAAAGACTAGAAGCGTACAACCGTGCTCTGGAAATCTACGCCGATTTCATCTCTCTCCAGCACGCCGACTTTCCGCTAAACCTTCCTTCGCAAGAAATGAAGCAACTTTTCAATATCTTTGACAAGCCGGCCCGCATCATCTTTGGCGAGGATTCATCAATCAACATCGCCGTACCATTCGACGACGCATATGTGCAAGGATACGAGGGATCGGAGTCAAGCAGCCATGGCGACCTCCGGAACCAAGTCCGGTATACAGGCGAGGTTCCCTCGGCGTTTGACTTTGCAGTCTTCGATACTGCGCATGACCACATCAAGTATCTTGTGTTGACGAACACCTGGCCTAAGTTCGTCAGGGAGATGCACCAACGAAGACGTTCTTACGAGACGAGTCGGAGTGTCGTTACCAACGAGTCTGACTCCTCGCTTCTGAGTCAGGTTTCGAGCGGAGTGACGAACCTTATCCGCTCAATCAAGGCCGCCTAATCCGGTGCATGTCATTTACTGGTCTTGCAGTGGCTCAGGGTATTAACAGCCGATTATCCCTCCAAGATTTCATTTTTTTTTTTCGAAGTCGATACAATACACACTTTCTTTCTCTCTTTCCTTGTTTCCATCATTTGATAACCCTATACCTGGGGGAGGGGTATTGAAAATAGTTGTATGGTCATTCTTTCTTAATCTATGCGCGTTAGTAGTCAATATGTCAATGCCTATCCACAGTTATACCGGTTCTGAATCAAAGTCTACAATATTTATAAGTTAGGAATAAGGCGTAGCCGCTGTTCAGCTTGATCAATATTGCATTTTTAGAAGCTAATCATAGTAGACAGAAAAAAACCCCAACGGAAACTGTAGATTCCCATATTTTCCAGCAAAACCGAATATCTTCTGTGCCCGCTAATTTCCAACCACCCAGGATAAATTTCACATGTTGAATGTCACACTCCATATCAGGGCACACTACGTGTATCCGGCTAACATTCTACGCCTCGCCCCAAATCTCATCGGCAATCCTTCGGATCAACCGAAGCTTGCTCTTCTCATCTTCCAGACTCAACGGGTACCCGCTCTCATGGGTGCTAAACCCACACTGAGGTGACACACAGATACGCTTCAAAGCTTCCTCCTTGGTCTCACCACTGCCCTTCGCGACAAACTCCGCCGCCTTGAGGACACGAGCTTTCATCTGCTCTTTGTCCTCCAACTTAGGAACCTTGGTGCTAATGATGCCGACAACAACGTTCTTATTCTTGGGCAGAAACTGGAGGGGCTCGAAGCCACCAGAACGCTCAGTGTCGTACTCAAGGTAGAAAGTGTTCACATCCAGGTCCTGGAAGAGCTTTTTGGCAATGATGTCGTAAGAACCCTCAGCAAAGTGACGACCGCCAATAAAGTTTCCGCGGCAGAGATGAATACCCGTGTGCATATCCTCGGGCAGTTTGCTGGTGATGTCGTTGTAGAGCTTGATGTAAGCGTCGAGGAGGTCTTCGACGGTACCTTTGTTGTCCTTGTCCTCGTCCCATCCCTGACGGAACTTTTGAGAGCAGAAGTCTAGAACATGGTTAGCAGCTACATTCGCGCCAGACATTGTGGTAACTTACAAGCCATCCCAGGATCATCGAATTGGACATTGCGCAGACCAGCGTCGTAGAGTTGCTTGAGCTCTGCCTGGTAGACCTTGGCGACATCACTGAAATACTCAGCATCGTTGGCGTACGCCTCCTTGGTATAGGCTCTACCCTGCTTGTAGCGCATGTGGAACCAGGCGGGCGTGATCATGGTCAACTTGATGTTCTTCCACTCCTCCTTGGGAAGTGCAGCTTGAACAAGGCGAAGCTCATGCAGGTTGGACTTGGACTTCTCCGGTGAGTGAGCTAGCTTACCGCCGGCTATGACGGAGTCGCCAGGCATCACCTTGCGGTCCTGCTCGATGAGGCTCACAACATCCGGGTGGTAGAGACGGAACATGCTGGCTTCAGCATCTTGCAGGCGGGTGGTACCCTCGAACTCGTCCCACATCAGACCCCAAAAGCGCGTACGATTAAACTCGCCCGAGGTGACGCCCTTGATGCCAAGGTCGCGCTGCAGTTGTACAACCTCAGCTACAGACTCCTTTTCGACGGCAGGAAGACCGGCTTCCTCCTCGGATAGGCCCTGGTCTCGAATCTTGCCCTCCCGAATGTCGAGGAGCTTCTGGGGTCGGAGCAGAGAGCCCATGTGCTCTGCCCTGAAAGGGGGCGCTTGATGGTGGCTGGAGGACATATCGACGTGTAATAGGAATGAAGTTCAGTGTTCTTTTTCTTTTTCTTCTGCGTCGTATGCTGTTGTCTTAAATCCCTCGCCGCGATAAATAGTTTGAAACGCCGTGGCATCGTGGCGGGTTTCCAATGATGCCGGCGGGGCATCCGGATTTAAACGCGGGGCCAAATGAGGGGCCAAATCCGTTCATCAGTGCCTGAGCGGGGGTTTTAATGGAGGCCGGATTTAATACCTAGCTCACGTCAGCCCGTGTTCAAACCCAATATGCTCTGGGCAAAGGAATTGGAAACCTTGGCTTGAGGGATTTGTGTTGCTTAATGCTCAATGTCATCTCGCGCAGCTGACTTATCGGAGCGTTGCCGATTGACAAACTTCCGGGGTACAGTTTGCCCTTGCTTCCTCAAATCAATTCTCCTTACGCGTTGCTCCACACTATCGGCAGTTGCTTCTATGGTTCGATGTGACGTCAGGTACCGTGTTTGTCAACGGCAATGCAATTGTCATATGTGATCTTGGGGACTGTAGAGCATCAGACCACCAGCTTTCCCAAACCCAAAGAGGGAGTCGCTTGAAAAAAGGCTTACAATGAGGCCTGTTTGTGGTGCACAATTTATAAAGATGGTCTGGATACCCCCAACTCAATCGTTTTCTTTGATAAGAAAACACTTTGAGTATTGTTCGAAGCAACCTTTAGCAGGCCGTCATCGACAAAATTGTGAGTGCACTGTGGTTATAGGTTTCTCTGTTGCTGCTCTAGCAAGTTCTGTAGCCTAGGTATTTCATAGGTTGCTCACATCCGCACCACAATTCAGATGCTTGACTTAGTCTTCTTACCAAAACGTATCGTTTTAACACAATTTTGTTAATTGCCAACTATCACTCTTGACTTCAATCTGGTAGAACGATAATTCTACATTACCTGCCTTTCATATATGCGATCCTATGCATAGGATGCATAGGATGAATGGCTTTCTCTAACTGCAAAACCTGCCCATCCCCCGCAGTCTGGCTTCTCTCTTCTTGAATGAGATGCTCCTTTAAACATCATCAGCTGCGTAAAGGTCATCAACGTTCATTTTCAACGTTTCTTCGAAGGGGGTCCAACCAGGCTTTCCAAGCCTCTTCAACAGCTCTTCAGCACGGTCTCGGGGCTTGATGATAGCTGGGTAGGGCTCGTTATAGAAGTTGTCGGGAAATTTCTTGTCAGGGTACTGTTTGCGAAATACTTCTAGGATATTGTCCCACCAAAGTGGATGGGCAAATGCAAAGATGCGCTGGCTCTTAACATCAGGCAGAGCAGCTGCGGCGACATGCAGATGGGCGTCATCCTGAACATCAAGGGCATATTTTATGTTGAAGGTCAGCCCATGACCGAGTTTCACCTCTTATGGTGTCAAGCGATACTTACGGGGCAACTTTTGTATTGAATCGAGTACTTTTCCTTGGAACAAAAGCACAAGAATGCCAGACGTGCAAGGGTGACCCTGATCGATGGGATAAGACTCTTTTCCGGATTCATTTTCTGAAGAACTATACATGTCGATGAGCATGAGGAAATGGCAGGTGATTGTCCAGGCGTCCTCTCCGTTTACATACCGGCGTTTACGACGAGATCAGGACGCTTGGATTGGTTGTCCCTGTCCTACTTCCGAACGGTCTGCTCTTGCTCAATCTTCCTGGTAATATATACAGTCACACTATGTCCAGGCTCCCATACTAGACCAGGGGTCCAGGCAAGCTCTTTCGCATCGGGACTCCATGAGTCTTCTGTCACAACTGGGCTCTTCATCTCTAAGAAGGCCTGCAGATGCACTGGTAAGATTACAGATGACGAAGAGGTGAGAACAAAGCGATTTACGAAAGGCCCTCTGTATGCAGTTTTGATGGCAACTACAGCACTCTCAACGACAATTGGAGATAACCTTGTTCGGCCCAGGGTCGAGATTCTTCACAGAGGCCATATAAATGAAAGCTGAAACTCCTATAGACCATAAGCGCTTTAGTTAACCAGTGTAGCATAAGGCTGGCTGTTTGCTTAACTTTGATCGCTTCATCAAATGCATTTCCAGCCGTCATATCGGGTACACACAACAACTCAAAGTGACCCTTACCGTACGTCTTGTCAAAGTAAGCACTGAGCCAAGCGTGCTCTTAGGTATCGCGGCTTGTGCCGCGAACTTTGTATCCATACTGAATCAACTGATGGACCACATGTGATGCAATGAAGCCATTGGCACCTGTGATAAGGACCACAGAATCCTTCGGAATTGCAGGGTTTTCGATGGTCGCTATCACTGACATTTGTTAATGCTGATATGGTTTGCAGTTTGATTATGGGGATAAACGGCGCAAATGCACTGCAAATGTGGGCAAGATAATATAGAGAAGAGGGCGGATATTAACAGGAAAATCCAGTTGAGTTTTCGTTCGCGTCAGCGAGTTTTGGACCATAATGAGGGAAGCCATGACTCGATCGGCCTTCTCATGCTGACGGGTCATGTACAGGCCCCGTTTACAAATGTTTCTGGAAGAGCTGTGAAGTTCCTTGTGATGGAGGGTGTAGTAGGCGACTTAAATATCGCCTGGTTACATGAAATAACTATGACCTCCTGTTTCCATAAAGAGGAGTTGTCTCAAGACTTTAGCTTCGGTTCGAAACAATTTGTATGCTAAAATACAAGATAACTATTACGTCCATTGTCTTATCGTTCTTGGTGCTTAAAATGGCCTAGCAAAGCATAAAATTGGTTCCTGACAAGTATTTCGCATAGAGCTATCTAAATTAGGGCGCCATCTAGCGTTACTGTACGAAAGTGGCCGATTGCACCCTGGATGTGGCTCGTTGGCATGCCCCCTAGCTAAAAGCAGTTGCGCCAGTTGCCGTGTTTCGCAGCCTTTATAAAGAGGCAGAAATGAGAACGTAGGTTCGGCACAGTTCCGTCAGTCGGCAATTGAGAACATATTGTTTGGGTGGAGAAATTAGAACCTCTGGTACTCAGCGCTCGGCGTCTCGTGCAGTAGCTTACAGATTTTGCTGCCCTTAAACCCAAAATGGAACTCTGTGATGAGCCCGAGCGTCTGTGAATCGAAATTAAAGAGACGCTGGCTCTTGATAGCTATCTACAGAGCGGTGGGACGGCGGGATGTATTACTTTCTGGATGCCTCGAGTCATACTGGCTATGGGTTCACAGAGGTTACAATGTGTCACAAGCGCCACGCAGAAGCACGCGTGCTTCATGATTCTCATAGAGAACCTAATAATAGCTAATGTAAAATGAGTAAATAGTACGGCTTGTGACAAAGTAGGTAGTTTGCACCATTCGGAGCAAATTAATTTTGGGATCAAGGAAAATGTTTGTTGCGCTTTTCTTCCTGAGAAAGGCTTGCGAGGTTAGATACATGTTATGTTGTATCTACCAGACGGCAGGGACCACAGTTGGACAGCTCATTTTGCTAGCCTATCCGTACTTGAAGACGGCTTTCTAAGCGAGCCTATCTTTTGGCATGTCCGCTCGTAAAAACGTATCGTTCAAATCCTCTCTCGTCCTTAAATCACAAAAGATTAGGACATATCAGATTATTTCTGTTACACTCAAAACAGGCCTCCGTGTGCAAGCATGGATAATAGGCATCGGCCCGCGGATCGACCAGATGCATCAGTCGCTATAATCTTGTATTACGTCAGCAAAGCCACGCAAGTTGCTGAAGCGATGCGGCACAACTTCAGCCCGTTTATGACATTGTGGGGTTGGGGCATGATAGTCAGACAGAGTGCTGACCAATAAGATTTTGAAGCGAGTCGGCTTAAAGTCAGCCCGGGGAATGCGCGAAGAATCGACAGGCAGACGCCATACAGGGATAATAGCAATAGCGCCTCTGGTCGGCGCAATTCCCATCGTCAGCGCTCTTTCGCGTCTATGCCCCTTTCATTTGATCCTGCAGGTGGCTCCCCATTGCCTTCTAGTTACTCCGTGGGGCGATGCAATTGAGCACCGTAGCGCCAATTGCTGGCGTGGCGCACGCAACTGCGACCATTCAATATTAACGTCGGCGCAATAGACTCTACGGGGCGTATCGGTCGGTACGTTTCTCTCAGGCCGACCGGCATCGCGAATGCCGGAAAATGCGAATGATAATGTCGAATGTGGCGTCCGTCGCCAGAAATGAAATATTTTAAGTACGAATGGGAAAACACGAGATGAATCGCTGAGTGTGCAGCAACAAAAAAAAGACCCCAAACCGATTCGTCCTATTCCTCATTCGAACCAATCAATCCCTCAAACACGATTTCAACATGTCGGGAACCACCATCCGCAAGGCCGTCATTACAGAGTTTGGTGATGCATCCAAAGTTTATATCATCCAAGACACCATCACCCCCCCTCCCAAGAACCATGTGCAGGTAGCGACCATCTACTCCGGCTTCTCTGGAGCCGACATCAACATGCGCAGGGGGGTCTACCCGCTGCAGAACAAAGCTCCGCTCACACCTGGCTACTGTCTCGTCGGCATCGTCAAGACCAACGGTCCCGGAGCGTCCAAGTTCGCAGCTGGGGAAATCGTCGCTTGTCTTACTGTATATGACGCGGAGGCCGACTTGGTGAACCTACCGGAGAAGTACCTCATCAAAGTCCCTGCAGGCATCGACTTACAGCAGGCCACCGCCCTGGTCCTGGATTGGAACACGGCGTACGCCATGGTCTTCGAGTCCGCCAAGGTGGCTGCGGGCCAACGAGTCTTCATCCACGGCGTCAGCGGGGCCGTCGGCTATGCCCTTATGACGCTATGCCAAATGCAGGGCGCCCATGTATACGGCACGGCATCGGAGCGGAACCACGAGGTCGCCCGTGCACAGGGTGCTACGCCGTTTGTTTACACCGACAAGAACTGGATCAAGACAATGAAGGACCTCGGCGGGGCGGATGCTGTGTTCGATCCTTTGGGGTTCGAGAGCTGGGACGAGTCGTTTTCCATCTTGTCACCTACTGGCATCCTTGTCGGTTACGGCGGGAACCTGCAAGCGCTTAACGATAATGGCGAAAGCCGGTCGGTTGTCATGCCCACTGTGAAACTACTGGCGCGGGGTATGGTTCCCTTTTGCGGCAAGAGGACTCAGTTCTACTACATCGCCCGAGACCACGCGACGTTCGAGCCAAACTTGAAGACGCTGTTTGATTTGCTGGCCAAGGGGAAGATTACGGTGCCAATCAAAAAGGTTTGGGAGCTCGAAGATATCCAACAAGCTCATCGCCAATGGACAAGCACGCCGGGCGTGGGGTCGTCGCTTGTGCGCTTGTCGGATCTCAAGGAGTAGGATTGAATATGCCATGAAGATAGTTAGATTTCCTACAGTCACATTTGATGAGATCTAATGAATAATCCCGTATTCTTACCATTTGTTGCATTCGTTCACCTTCCTGCTTCCGCTTAGTGGTTTTGAACACGTCATTACCGTACGTACCCTGCCGATGCAGCTTTGCAGGCATTCCTGCTGACGCAGCATCCCGCTCGTTGCCTTCTTTCTTGGCTGACTCCAAAGCCTTTCAAAGCTTCTCCTCCATCAAATTTAAAGTTTCAACGTGGCATATGTAACCAGCGCCATCACGGGGGACAGAAATAGTCAGGTGTTCGTTCAATATTAGAGACACTATACCTGCAGCCATAGTGAAGACAACGATCGTATGCGACCATGCGATTCTCAGCTATCCTGTTCGCGCTGGCAGGCATTGCCAGGGCAGGCGAGCGCGATTATCCGGATCTGAATGGCTTCAATTGGTCAACAATCACGCCGTCAACAAAGCTGGAGTACCACCCATGCTACGAGGAGTTCCAATGCGCAAGACTCACGGTACCTCTCGACTGGCTCGATGAGAAGAACGAGTACACCGTTGCGCTGGCCATCATCAAGCTCCCAGCAAAGGTCCCCGACCACGATCCGGCATTCGGTGGCACCATTTTCACAAACCCAGGCGGCCCTGGAGGTTCTGGTGTCGGGTTACTGCTCAGAGAGGGTCATCTCTTGCAAGACACTGTCGATGGCAACAAGAAGTATGAGATTCTGAGTTGGGATCCGCGAGGTGTTCAGTTCACCTCGCCAAAGGCAGACTGCTACGAGGACCTCCTTGCTAGAGACCTGGACACGATCCAGCGCTTGGCCATCGGGCCTCTAGACGCCAGTCCAGATGCGCTCAGGCGGCAGTGGGCGCGTATTCAAGCTTACGGGAAGCTGTGCACCCAGAGCGCCGTGAACGGCTCCATTCTCCCATATGCTTCGACAGCGTCTGTTGTCCGCGACATGGTAGAGATGCTGGATAAGATCCAGGAGCTGCGGGATGAGGAAGTTGCCGCAAAGTTCTCAGAGGAGGAGAGAGCACAGAGACCTATGGAGCTGCGTGGTGCTAAGCAGTTGCCGCGTCTACAGTACTGGGGCTTCTCATATGGCAGTTTGCTGGGCAACACCTTTGCATCCATGTATCCCGGCCGGGTTCAGCGGATCATTCTTGACGGAATCGTCGACGCCGATGATTATATGGCTGCTGTGAGTAATTTCAACTCATTCGGATTCCCACGGACCGTTAACCTAGCGCACAGGGATGGACAACCAATCTTCAAGATTCCGAAAAGATTGTTGAGTTCTTCTACACGACATGCTTTGCTTCTGGAAGAAAGTGCGCCCTTAGTCGGCCGTCTGACCGCAAGTGGCAAGACATTCGGGAGCGTGTCATTCAATTAATCAAGCAGCTGGATGATTCACCAGTCTCGGTTCTCGACGGCAAATTCACTAAAATCTTGACGGGCTACGACGTTACGGTGTCGTTCGTAAGACCCCTCTACAAGCCTTATCAGGACTTTAAGAAACTGGCCGAGAAGATCAACTCGGCCATAGAGGGAAACTACACCGCCCTCATAGAGACCGCTACAGCCGATGTCCCCAAACTTGACGATACCTGCTCTCACCCCAATTCATCGGCCCCTCCGAGTGCGGTCGGCGATGGCACTCAGGCCATTCTTTGCAGTGACGGTGAAGACAGCACAAACCTTACAATCGCTGATTACCGGGCCTACATTACGAAGCTTGAGTCTCAATCACCAACGTTCGCTGGCTACTGGTCCGAAATCCGCTTCTCTTGCATGGGCTGGCATGTCCGTCCCAAGTGGCGCTTCGCCGGCCCATTCGCAACACCGGAACCCGACCCCGCTGTGGTTGAGGGTAGACCTACGGCTCCGTTGCTGTTCCTGACGTCCCGGCTCGATCCGGTAACGCCGTTGAGGAACGCGCTGAAGGAGAGTGGGCGTCATCCCGGTTCAGCGGTCGTGATCCAGGAATCCGTTGGGCATTGCAGCACGACGACTAGCAGTCGTTGTACGACGAGAATTATTCGGGAGTATCTTGAACACGGAATCGTACCTAAGAGTGGCACAGTGTGCCAAGCTGACTGCGATGTTTGGGACGGAGATGCCTGTCTACGGTCGAGTATGGGTATTGACTTGAGGCCTTTGGCACCATCGAACCATAGATCTCATCCGCTCATCTTCTAGACCAAAGCACATACAAGCGATTGAGGTAATGGGGCACAGGGAAATCTTGTTAGAAAGAGCGTTAAAACCAAGATATCTTAGCAAAGGCACACGAACACAAACTACATTGCTGCCCCAACCTCATGACATGGAGGACATAAAGCAAGGTCTGGAATGTTTGGCAAAGTACAGAGCTCAACGGTTTGACTCTATGAGGTGTCAACTATATGGGCCTCCTTGCAATTTGGAAGATACGCCGACTATATTTAGCGCTTCAATGTTTGCAGAGGATAGATGCACATGTACTTCAACAAGATCATCAGCCTGTCATGAATACCACGTTACCATTGGTCTCCACTTGCCACTCGGTCGAAGTTCGTTACACTTACTGGAATGTATCGTAAGATCGTCAGTAACGAAGATCTATCGCCTAATGCGACGTCTGGCTTGACCGCAGCCCAGTTGTATTCAAAAGTATACTTTGGGAGGACCCAACTGAGACATAGTTCCAGGCAAACGTCAACTGCATGCTTTCTCCGCGTTATCGGGCACGCATCGATACGAGCTCCCCTCTCTCCCTTGTCGTCTGACGTTCGCAGATACAAGTTCCAGCATAGACTATGGAGCCAATCAAAAATGCATGCAGACGACGACGCAAGTACCTTTAGCATTACAACAGCACAATATCGTGGGGTTTGATTCCTGGGTGGTGCAATGCCCACCCGCTACCCCTCAACGGCACTCAGCCGCTCCCACGGCCAAGCTGAACATGGCGCTAGCGACGGTTCAGCCTATGGATCGACCAGCACCAGTGGCTTGTAAGTACTTTTGGTATTGGTTCGACCTGTCACCTTTGTAGCCGGAGGCCCCTCTCCTTGGTTTCTGCCTACTTTTTACGAGATCCATACTTGCCTGTCAGATTTCACTTGAGATGTAACTTTGAAGGGATGTAACCTGCCCGTAGTGGTTGTCAAGTACAAAAATAGAGTCAGACATATGACACCTGAGTTCGTATTCGATGGCTTTTAGTCAAACTGGTTCAGAAATCGGGTAGGGAAGTGGAACGAAAGGGGTTACAGAGAACACAACTGTTAGGAATGATTCGTCGGGTGGTAAGAGTCGGGTCATACTTTTCACCGAAGTTGATCATGACAGCCTTTCCCTGCTAAGGATTCAGCGCCACTAATCAAGAGGTCGGGTATAAAGGTTTGATCGAATCCCGAGTTATGGGGATTCATATCACAACTACACCGAGCAGCAATATACCATCAAAAACGAAGCAAGTCTCAATACCAGCGTACCAAGTCCTATTATTCAAGATGAAGTTGTCCACCATTGTGTTCTCGTCTCTTTCCATCCTTGTTCCCGCCCTATCTCAGCCTCTTGAAGAGCGCGATGTCTTCCAGACAGTTCACCTGACTTTCCACGGCGGGCCCGCGTCCTACGAGCTGGTTATCCCCGCCGATGGGCAGGTGCATGCAACCAGTTTGTCCCATACCACACTCTTGCTTCCAAAGCGGACGTACTGACACTTCGATTTGAAGACAACAATATCTCCGTCAACATTATTGACGCACCCGACTACAACGCCATCTCCCAATGTACTTTCTACACCAACAGTGAGAAGGCACTGGCGAGCGGTATCACCTCACAGGGACTGCAGCAGGTCATCGTTGGGCCGCCTCAGCCCATTACCGGAGTCAGTTGTTTTGGCATCTGTGTCGCAACATATGGGGAGTGCTACAACACTCAAGGACAATATGTTGGACCCTGTTGCAACGGCTTTTGTGCTGCAACGCGCTGCAGACCATGGATCCAGCCGTACTAGACGAAACGGGGTCACAGAGTGGAAATCTGAGCCTTCTGTAACCTCAAGTGGAATGATATGGATGGTGAGATCAAGGAAGTTCCTAGGTTAGGGATGCTATGTCGTTCTTTATAAGTCACCCTGGGGCCTCAGCCCTGGCATGGTTTTTCGAATGAGGTTTGAAATTAAAGCTGCCCTGATTATCCTTGAGATACGAATAGTTAACTATGACTATGGCCGAGAAATTGGTGTTCCCAACATTGATATTGGTTCCTATGCGAGATCTTGTTCAAAGTATTGGACTAGCTCTGGTCACGTTCTTCGATATTTTCAAGTAGGATGCAAAATCGGGCAGTAATCCGATTCTCAACCATAAGATTAATTTCCAACCATACAAGGTAGCTCGTCAGCCCACCAATGGAAAATCAAGCCCCATCACCTATTAGTCCCAAAAGCCCGTAATATCTAGCCATTGCCGTCTGACGGGAGTGCAGACCCCGCAGTCAGCAGCGGGACTTTTGTGTTTGAAGTCACGGGTTCTAAAGAGGCATCAGCGTTCTGCATGCCAAGCAGCCATGCAATACTGTTATTCAAATAAACTCTCCAGGACACTATTCCACGTTGTTTGAAGGTTCTCCGATAAAGCAGTCTCATTATCATCATCAACTGCTCGCACAAACCCAAGATCACAGATGGCTGCCTCCATGGAGTTTAGACCAACCATGTCCATTCTCTCCAACGAGGGGTGCGACATCCACTACTGGTACCAAGGACAAGGCCCTCTCATTGTCTTCGTTCCTGGAGGCAATGGCCATGGGCGCCAATACAACCCCATCATCACCGCGCTGTCAGACAGGTACACTTGCGCCACCTTCGATCGACGCCAAATGTCTGCAAGCAAGGCGAAAGTCAACAAGAGGCTCAACCCTCCGCAGCAAGCCCGTGATATCCGCGCTATCATAAACACTCTTGGCTTCGATAAAGCTATCCTCTTCGGGAGCAGTGGGGGTGGTATCTTGTCGTTTCAGTTTGCAGTCGACTTCCCCCACATGGTCGACCATATCATCTCGCATGAGGCCCCGACCTTCACCTTGTTGCCGAATGCCTCCGAGGTTTTTGAATTCCTGTACGATTGCCTCGAGCTGTATGAGAATTTCGGCCTTCAGGCTGCACAGACGCAGTTTGAATCAAAACTTGTTGGCTACTCTGATGAGGGCATACCAAGCACTGTGTCGCCGGAGCCGAGTAACCCAGTAAACTTCTGGGAGAACGAGTTTACTATCCTATTAGGCTACCTGCCAAGTTTGTATCGGATAAAAGAGAATAATACCAGCGTCGGATTGATGAGAGGTACGAGAAGCAGGGACGCTTGGTATGCGCAGGCAGTTAATGAACAAGAGAAGATTTTGGAGTGTCCCCGGCTCGATGTTCCGGGGGCGCATGAAGGCTTCCAGGTCGAGTTGGAAGCATTCCTTCCTTACTTCTTACAGCTTCTGAAAGTTCTCGAGGAGAAAAGGTCCCCGAATGTGTGACCGTGGCATAATAGTAGCTGGTATATTCCATTGAGATCATCGATGATAATGTGATTTCTCCTAACAGTAACTGTACCATAGTCCTATCCGCCAGCTGGTTATACATCATACAATGTCGATCAGTTGAACCTTAATTTCGGCAATCCTCTCTTTTGTCTCCAATAGTTCGTCCCCTCCAGAATTTCCGTGCAGCCGGCCAAAAGCCAACCCCATTTCTTCAGAAACGGTTCGGTTGCTTCCCATCCCCGTGGATCCCAAGCCTCACCCCAAACAAGGAGGGCAGATTCCTCTACCCCAGCTCCGGCTCCAACGTCTACGATATCCCGGCACAAGTCATCCTCGTCAATGTAGTCTTCTCCATATTCGGCAACGATTCGAAGGAAGTTATCTCGCATTCTAGGGTGGGGAAAAAAGTCGATCCATGGATGATGCTCGACGGCAATTTGCAGCCCGGTGGGGCGCATATTCTCGGGACACGAGTTTCCTGTCATTGCAGGCCCGAGGCCTGGACCCAACTTATTGAAAGGTGATATTGCTTCATATGTGAGCCACGCGCCATCAAAGTCAAGGACACGGGCATTTTGTACGAAGGCGTGGAAAACGTTCACGCGAACAAGGGTTGTAAGGTAGGCAGGACAGGGTTTCCCATCGAGATAGTTTTCGTAGGCTTCTCCAGCAAACCTGATCAGCTGTATCTGAGTTTCGAGTCTGCATAGCTCTGGATGTTTTTTGGCTCGTATCTCCAAAGCCACTTCGGTCTGACCCTTGACTGGCGGTGCCGACTTCACAAGCGCTGTCGATAGGTCAGACCCTGAATCTGGCTCAGAACTTGGATTCAGAGGACAATTCTTCGTAGGATACGTCTGAGTTCTTCTACCTGGACGAAGAAGAGTCTTGTCAGTCAATTCCACCCATTTACATCACCGGGTTGTGTGTGGTAGTGCCACCTACGCCGAGCCCTCTGGTTTAGGCGGTTCTGTAACTTCCGCCTCTCCGCCGCACTTGTCACGCCGGTCCAGTCCTCTGAGGTGTCTTTTAGTTCCACCAGGCGAGGATTGATTTTGATCGTAATCCTGGTAGGGACCGCTTCTCCAGGAGAGAAACACAAGTCCATCATCTGCGCTAGTTGAATTCGGAGACCTTCCCTCCACTGGCGCTATTAGTTGAGAACCGGCACGCGAAAGGCCGGACCAACAAGGTGGCGCGAAGACACCGAGGGGTAATTGACGAGAAAAGGCAGAACCTCGGGTTTTGAAATGAGACTGGCTGTTGCATGGACTATATGCAACCTGCTGACTGCCCCCTACCACCAATGAGTTGAGCGTGCCGCAAATTGCAATGTTAATCGGCGACGGTACAATTGTCGAAGGCGAGGACTTCAATGCTCAGAAGATCATATAATATCGCATGGTCTAGTAGTTTTTCGGGAAATCGAGCTACCTTCAGACTTGACAGTTCAAGGACTGTCTACTTCATTCTGTTGATGGAGCTTGTCTTGCTATTTAAACGATCATCATTAAGTAGATTGTTAAGACAGCCTGCCCATGGTTATGATTATCAGAGAGGTGCATCCGGTGGGATTTAAGTCTTACTAATATGTGAACCAGATTTTAGCGTGTCAGCAGGGTGCATTAGCGTTTACTCTGTTAACCAACCAACAGGCACAGTCGGAGCTATCCCCTCAAGTGGGGTGAAAAAAAAGAGCACCTTTTCTTCAGTATTTGATTTCTAACAAGTCTCTACCTGCTTCCATGCATAGAAACGCCTGAATACACTGAGGCAAGCACTGTGTCTTGATCGTCATGCCTGACTGGCAGCTTGCGAACAGATTCCTTCATACGCTGTAAACTGATATCCGAATGGCATGTGTCGGAGTGGAACGAAGTCCAGCCTATCTGGTGCCAATGGGCCCGAGCTTGAGCTTTTGGTATCTTTCAACTGCTTATGTAGTGAAACTGAAAATTGAAAGGATCTTGTATATCACACTACAGCTATTAAGTTTGGGCGGTGACCCAGTTTCATGACTAAGGATTTGCAGAGTGAGCATCGCATCCTATAGCTTACATGTATATTATAAGGTCACATTATGAGCACCACCGCTGTAACAAACAATCATGCCCATAGTTATCTGCCAAAATAGACTAATTTGAAAAGCCACAGAAGGCAAACAAAGATCCTCAACGATTGATAGAGAAGCAAAGGTAAGTACAGAAACTGTTGCGATGCCGGGCATCGTCAACTATCGCCGAGATTGAAGCTTATCTCCGCTATGGGTCACCACCCTCGGCATCCATCCGGACAGTGGTTATCCCGACTTTCAACAAGGCAACCCGCGATAGCATCTTATTTTCTTCAGGCATAAGACATAATACCGCTGCACCCCTCCCATTTCACCACTTCGACCTAGGTCACCAACCCTGTGGTACCAACAGAAACCTGCCTGGGGTCATTCCATGTAAGATGTTGGAGCCACCAATCGGAATTTCAACTTGCTCCAGGGACAGAATTCATCCTAAGCTGAAACACTGTAGGTGCTTCCAACAGGGCCGAATCGGATGTTGGACCATATGACCTGGGCGTTGGGGAACTGTTCAATGACCTCGGCGGGGACGCCGGAAGTTGTAGCACATGGTCCACGCTCGGTGCCGGGCTGACCGGCCTTCTCGGGAGGGTAGACGGAGTCCAGCCAGAGCATGTTGGAGTAGTGCTATGAAAATGTAAGCTTCTTTTTAATGCCCGGATTCTGTTTCATAGGAGGCTTACGTCACTCCAGATGGACATCACAAGGGTCATAGGGATCTCGAGAGCAGCGTTTAGTTGAGGGTATCCGCCAACTTCGTTGAAGCGATCACGTTCGCCAAAGGTGGCAAACTGGGCTCTGCAGTAGTCGGGAGTGATGTCGGAGGTTTCAGGAATACCGTCCCACTTCGCACCAGGAACAGTAATTGTCCTGCCATCCTGGATGAAGACCTGGTACATGCGATCAGGCAGGAAGCGAGTGATGACGGTGAATTTCTTCCTGGTATCGATTGTTTTGCCAGGACCGTAGAAGTCACGGTTGCCCATGCGGTACGGGTTGTAATCGCAACCGTCGGCATCGCAGCCGCCTCCGTAGCGGTCTTCAGAGTAAGTGCCGCCACAAGTGTCACCCTCACAGACATGGTAGTTATTGTCTTCGCAAGGGTGGGGGGTCAAAGCGTAGGCATGAGCGTTGGACTCCCTGATTATCGTATGAGTGTCCACAATTTCATAGAAAGATTATTTGAGGCTTACCAAACGTCGATCTCAGCGCAGCAAGCACCCATGTTGCCAACTCCGCCGCTGTCGTCGGTATCAGAGGAGTCCCAACCTTCGATATTGCCCTGTTGAGCAGTGGAGTTAGTCGAGTCCTATACATATGCTGAGGCCAATGAAGAAGAGCAGCAAGACTTACCCTGCCACCAATGAACTTAAGGTCGCGGGCACATTGAGCGTCACAATAACCAGTACCGTACTTGGCACCAGCCTTGTTGTTGGTCTCAGAGGAGAGACCACCATCTTCCTTCATAGAAACGAAGTATAGAGCGCTGTTAATACCACACTCCACTGTGGATAGATCAACGTCGAAGGCAAATTCGTTGTTCAACAAAGTAAACATCTGGTACTTGCTGTCACCGTTCATCAGGTACATGCGAGAGCCGATATTCTTGCCATACGAGTGCTGTTGGACAAACTTCAATGTCATGGCGTTTCCGCTAGTCGAAACACCATAAGTACCGCTGTAATTAGCTCCTTCAACGGCGCAGTTCTTGGCGCAGTCGTCTGCACTAGAGCATCGTCCAGTCCATGAGTTGCCCTCGTAGCAGTTCTGATATCCACTGAAAAGTATGTTAGTCGGGAGCTGAATGGCAGATCTACTAGGAGAAGGCGTGAGTTAGCCATGATACTGGAATCACTCTTACCCGACTTCGTGAACCCAACGCCAATTGGCGTCGATAACGACCTCGGCGTTGACGTTGGAGCATGAACCGGAAGTACATTTTTGCCAGCTCAGTTTAGGGTGTATCTCAGACTCTTCGGTGCCGACCTGCTGAGCCACAGCCATAGCCAGCATGGAGAGTGCTGTAAGTGTGTACTGCATCTTGAAATATCTACAGTGATCGATGATATGTCCGTTGAGTATCAAACCAGAAGAGAAGAAGGCGTGATGAGGAGTGAATCCAACTCTCATGGTCAACATAGAAACACACGCGATACTTATACTCTATGTATAACCTCTGAGCATATTACTTCTCCCTTCGCGGAATGGAGCTTGCCGAAGTGATCATCACTGGCCTTTGGAAGTACGGTAGCATCGCGCAGTGTTCCGTGACGGATTCAACACGTCAGATGTCCCTGTCTACAAAATGAAGTCGTTGGTCCCATAGCTCTCAAGGACGAAAACAGTTCCATTCAAACAAGCCCCACACGGGCTTGAGTATCATTTCTGTTTGCATTGCTAGATAATATCCGGAGTCGATCGGAGCTAACTCCCGTAGTCGACAAGGGTTCATGTCCTATTTTGCAAGAGTTGAGCTCAGTCGAGAAGCAGACTATTCTAGACATCGGGGTTATGGCTTCTCGAGCCGTAAATGACCATTTTCAAATATCGCCAAGGTCTTGTCGAAGGAGAGATAGTTGAATTATTGGTCAAAGGTGTGAACATCAGTGGAATATGATGGTCGGGTGGTGATGAGCCAAGTCATGCTTACAACAGCCAAGGTCTCGGCGACTGTGATACTTATAAACAGCTCCCGGTCGTGAGTTATAGTAGTATGGCGGTCGTCAGGAACAATGGAGATGTCTCGTCGATCTCAGCCGCATTTGGCATTCACTATTTTACCGTCCGAACTGATTGATCAGGGGCTTCCTTGCCCGTCTCGGCGCCACAAAAACGCCTGGGACGACACGCTGAGGGTGGCCCTACGGGGCTGTAAGTGGAATGCATGTTCTAGGTCAAGCTATCGACCATGAAAAGGTACTTTGAAGTTCGTCCGTCTATAATGGTCAATCTTATGGGTTATATAGTACGCTTTCCCCATGGAACCTGACTGCGCTTTCATTCATTCCAACTCCGAGTGCATGATGTCAAAAAAGGCATGGGCTTAAGATCAATAATAAAAATAGCCGGGAATAACATGAGTTTCCGCAAGAAAATTGATAAGGTATTTTTCTATCCCCGAACCTCGCGCACCTTTGGTTCACTAGCACATGGAACCGTATCCATGAAGGTTCGAGAGGGTATACAACGGCACTCGTCTTGCAACGCAAGCTTTTCCCAGTTAAACCATGACTGGTTCAAGCTACTGTCGCCGGCAAAACAGCCAGCTGTTTTGCCAAAAGTTATGGGGAGCTCTGCAGTATCTATGGCTTGATTAATTCTTGGTCTTACCTTTTGCCAAAGAGACGTCTGGGGTGATTTGCGGGGTGAGTCTCGGCGTGTATTATCAAGAGGAGGCGGGGTGAATGTGAATTCTTCCCGTCTTAGTGGGACTAACTAACGCTCGATATAGTTCACGGAGGTTAGAGCTCCGTCCACGTCGGTTTACATATATGGGATAAAATTATGCCTTATTGACCCGTTCTGATGGCGTGTTCATCGATTAGCTATTAATTGATGGAGATTTTCCTGTGCAATTGCGTCTATTATCCAGTACCGAGCCTTATGCGCTGAGTACACCAAGTTAAATACTACACTGTTTGTGTTATGTCTCAACAAACCGACGTAGATATTGCAGAAAATCAGGCTTAGACACTCCTCTATGTTGAATAGAACTGTTGGGGTTGCAGTCGGAACTCAGCCCGGGAAAATATTATGCGGGTCGGGTATAGTCTTCTTGAGAACCCAACCTTTCGTAATTGGAAGTCCAAGCCATTCATCCTCTGAATCCCTACTGCGCCATTTTCGGATGTTGGCGCTCACTTGTTACCACAATAGACGATTCTACTTGGTGGGGGAAGCATACTGATTTATCTTAGGATTGGGGGCTTCTCTCCCACTCTTTTATGTTATAAACAACGGAAACCACATTTGTTCAGGACTAAACAGAAGACCGGCTGACTCCAGGCATGAAGCAATGTAACATCTTCACCTGTAATATTCAGTTGAAATATATATACAAAGCTTTCGATAAGATTTTCTCGCCGATGGTTGTATTCTTTCGGTGTTCATATAGTACTCATGCATTTAGGGAAACGAACGCGTGATTTGGGGAATGCGTGAGAGATATAGTTGGGCTACGCATTTACGCCCACATCGCCTCAATGAAGACTGATTGTTATGCCCTACTAAAAGAAAACAGTCAGATATAGGAGACAATGTTGGTTTTTGCACTACGGTGAAATATACTATAACTCATGCATAAGATGGATATATGCCCCTGAAGACTGTCACGCTATCATTTCCAAACGTTAAACTTGGATAGCAATTTTTTACCTTTGGTGGTCAGGTTTTGGCACTTGACTTTATTCCTAAAAAATATGTCTTTGCAATATTTCGTTGAAGTTATTGGCTGGTATGAACCCCTGTTTCTAGCCAATTTACTGATAGTACTGCCGAACGCTGTGAACGTTTATCCGCCAACTGACTGATAGCGGGACCATATCCCGTAATTTTGTATCAGCAACTGTTAAATTCAATTTGACTGATAAGCCTGAGACTGTCTGTATTGCGCATAATCTCAGCATCTTGTGTGGAAGAGAACAGCCTGGTGGCGTCTGGGCCCACGAGGACGCTGTTTTTGAGAGGTAGCTGACATTATATATTCAATTGTCAAATAAATCACTATCACGAGCCACAAATCTTCTAAAAGTGAGGCGCAAGTATCCTCTCTAGAAACTATGTATGAATCAATTCCGGGTAGAACGCCCATGTGAAGTGATATGTGTATGTGGTAGGCCAGATCTGAGACTAGACACACGAAGCTATTCCTAGCATCACAGTAGCAACTCATTGCCATTTAAAATTTAGATAAAAGTTAACATTGCTAAATCAATACACATTTCAGCCAGGGAAATTGAGAAACAAGACTTAGGAGTAATCATCGTCTTATGTGAGAAAATGATTATATCAGAACCAATCACGCTGTTCTGTTTTGCTGCACAGTGATGACTAGGACTGCTGCCTGCTTTAGGCTGGAACGCACAATTCTTATTCATCAACATGCATTTTGGCTCGCATGCGCTCAGAATCCGATTGGCCGCTTGCCCGGCGAAACTATCTGGCCTGCTTGTCTTAGTGGTATGCAACGATTGTCTCTGGCGTGATGTGTAACAATCAAACGCGCCAATGGTAACCAGAAGTATAAAACATGACTTCCGATGAGACCTAAATCTTATCGCCGCTTCGGGAAGGTTGCATCGCTTATTGCAGATATTGATTCTCGACCTGTAACACTCGCCGCTTGTATCCCTTGGGCGACTGTTTGGGTGTTAATACTATGCATGCTGTATTAAGGCCAATTGGCTAAAAACCGAGGTGTCCTACACACATGTCTTACTTACATGCTCCCTTGAGTCCTTTTGAACTAGCTTCTGTTAGCCTGCTGCTCCCCTGGCGGCGGCAATCGTTGGGAGACGTGTCGACAGGATGGCAATTCCGGGTTAAAAGTGGGATAAAAAGCTTGAGTTCGGTAGTCGTGATCTCCCCGCTACGGTAAGCCGACTGCCCCTCGTAGTTTTTCTTTCTGTTTCTTGCCTTCTCCATCAGATTCTCTGAATCTTAGCGAGACAGTTCAGTTGCCATCATGGAACCTGATAGTGCGTTGAAGTCTGAAAAAACGGCTCGTTCCGAGTCGATTCAGCTTGCCGAGTCACAAGCTTTTGATGAAAAGTCAACGAAGAAGCTTTTGAGAAAATTGGATTGGCATATCATTCCGTTCATGAGCCTGATCTATTTGTAAGTTCTGGACTCACAGAACCACTTTCGTACACCGCCGTGCAACACTGACCTGGTTCAAGACTATGCTTCCTCGACCGTACGAACATCGGCAATGCCAGACTGGACCACCTGGAACAAGATCTGAAACTACACGGTATTCAGTACAACGATTGCCTTGCAATTCTGTTTCCATTTTACATCGCGGCCGAGATTCCGAGCAACATGATGATGAAGCGCTTCAGGCCATCCATATGGCTGACGTTCATAATGGTTTGTTGGTCTGCGTCAATGATAGGTCAAGGATTCGTCAAGGGCTACTCGGGACTCATGGCCACGCGAGTCTTCCTCGGCATCTTCGAAGGGGGGTTGTTCCCCGGAGTCAACTACTACATCACGCAGTGGTACTGTAGACACGAATGTGGCTTCCGGATGGCTTTATTCTTCTCCGCCGCAACGCTTGCCGGTGCTTTCGGTGGCATACTTGCTCGCGGGATTGCAGAGATGCACGGCGTCGGCGGTCTTTCGGCCTGGAGCTGGATATTCATATTAGAGGGAATACTAAGTATTTTGGTGTCTTTCACGGCGTACTGGGCGATCTATGACTATCCGGCAACGTAAGAAAAGCTTTCTCTCTGTTTCCTTTGGGGATGCCGAGTATCCGTGGAAGGGGCCCAACCGGAGGAGGGATCAAAGCTACGTAATGAACAATTACGTAGCCCATTTGATTCCGCCTGCCATACCAACGCAGATACTGATCACTTCGTCACGCTCTTCCCGATAAGATTAATACTTTCATTTGACAAACCGGTTGGCTAACTTGATTCTCAGGGCTCAGTTCCTTGATGAGAAGGAGCGCTCCGAAGTCCAAAGACGGCTGCAAGAAGATTCAGGTCACTTGTCAAACGAATTCAACGTCAAATATGTGTGGCAGGCAATCAAGGACTGGAAGATTTACATTCACATGCTTATTTGCATGGCAGGCTTCTGTCCCATTTACTCCTTCGCCCTCTTCTTGCCAACGATTATCAAGAACATGGGTTACACATCCAACAACGCACAGCTGATGTCTGTACCGCCGTATTGCTTTGCCTGTGTTTTTACTATCGTTGCTAGCTGGTACGCCGATAAGGTCAGGCAACGTGGAATCTTTTTGTTGGGCTTCCAGCTGGTCGCCATCCTAGGCTTCGGGCTATTGGTTGGTACAAGCAAGTCCTCTGCGCAATATGCAGGGACTATCTTCGCTGCAATTGGTCAGTGTAGCTACACATGAGCTTATAGAGAGCAGCAGCCGCTGACTACCTCTCCAGGAATATACCCTCAGATCCCCCTTGGTCTTGCTTGGAACAGCAGCAACATCGGAGGCAGTCTCAAGCGTGGTACAGGCATAGCGATGCAGGTTATGGGAGGCAACTGCGGTGGCATCATTGCGTCTTACGTCTATCTCAGCCGTGATGGACCCCGATACACCACGGGTCACAGCATTCTCATTGGCTTCGTCAGGTAAGATAGTTAAGATAACAGTCTCCGGAAAAAGAAACCCAAGCTGACCCTAGGGTTTAGCATGGCATTCTTCTTGACACTTTTTATGACCGTTTGGTGTCGGAAGGAAAACGCCCGCCGGGGTCTTGTTGCCAGCGGCGTAGGAGCGCAAGAGCTCACCGAGGAACAAAAGGCACTTGAGGCTGAGCTTGCTGATAATGTGCCATGGTTTAGATACACGGTCTGAATTGACTGGCCTAGGGTTCTCTTCCCTAAATCAAGGTGGCATAACATGGCATAGCCATATTAATTGCTGATTTGATCCGTCTTGGGAATTGAATACAAGCCTTTGACATCGGGTAACAAATGTTGTAGCACTGGCGCTATCTAGAGAAGAATATTGGACTCGTCTCTAAAACCCAACCCTAGAACTGGGCAACTGTAACATGCTCTGCCCTGTTACGTTTCGGAAAAGCTGTACATAAGATATTGACAGCCATAAGATGCAGACCTTCTCGGCGGTGAGCAGGAGATCCAGAAAGATCGATTATTTCCGGGCCCTTGCATTATAGCATCCACAATGCATTCGATCGGTTGAGCGGCATAGACGAACATCAACTCGGCGGCTATCGATGAGCAAGCCCCTCGAAGGGTTGAAAACTTGGTTTTTTTTTTTCCAACAGTCAGTTCAGTTGATGACAATAGCCAATGGATTGAGTTGGTTATTGATCCTTATACCGCGGGTTGAATTCTATCTATTACCATCACAAGTATGAAAAGGTTCGCAACACCTGCTGCTAACTAAGACTTAACGAGGCTGCTTTTCAACGCCATCCGATCTGCGACCGCAGCCTCCAAGATCGGTATCACTTCATCATTCCAGACAGATTATCCATGTCAATTTGTCGCAATTTTCATTGCCGGCAAATGCAGCGTGCTGGCTATTAATGATCACGATTCAAGGCCGGCGCAAACATTGAAGCCGATTGGCGCTGGTGCCGGCAGCTTCGATTCATGTCAATACTCGAGGTGATAACAAACTCCTAACTAGCATTGGACAATTAAACCCCCACAAGAAATTAAATTGATCAGCTTCAGTTATATCTTGGGATAAATATGTACAGGCATTGATTAAGCCCAGGTATCGAAGAACCGCACTGCTTGGAAGAAAGCTTCCTCCTTACCGAACTTCTGTCTAGGGTCCGAGATATTCGCACGTACTGCGAAACCGTGGGAAGTGCCACCATACAGGGCAACAGAAAACGGCTGTCCGGTCTGATCGAGGAGCGCCTCGACTTCTGCGCGACGAGCGGCAGTCATGAGATTGTCATTCTCTGCATACAATTGGTCAACATCTTTGTCATCTCGAGTGCATCCAGGGAGTTGCTCACCGGCAGCAGCGACACTGGCGGGGCCGGTGATTGCCTTAATCTCGTCATCAGTAAGCAAACTCGGGTGCGCAGCGAAGCCGACTTGGGCACCCTTGCCATCAGCAAGCACTCGGAACGAATAGCGACCACCAAAGCAGTATCCCGTGACGGCAACTTTCTCGACGCCAAGCTCCTCGCGGAGATACTTGATAGAATTGGCAATGATGGGGTCGGTTACGTTCGGTCCATGCTGTGCGAGAAATTGGGTTGTGTTGAAGCCAGGTATGTTAATATCGTTCGGCGCTGGGTTGCCGTTGAACAAATCCGGGGCGACGGCGACATAGCCAGCACGAGCGAAGCTGTCGGTGAGCCTAGACAATGAGTCAGTCCGTATGATCAGGATCCAAGAGCCTCACAACTGCGGGATGTGCAGAGATTTCCCGCCTGCCCGACTTACAGTTTGTTTTCGGGCAATTGAATGCCAAACACATCGGTCAGGTACAGCACACCGGTCGTCTTATTGCCGGCCGCAAAACCAGCCTTGGGCTTCGAGACATATTGGGTAACTGTCATCAATTCAAGTCAGAGTGCCACTCGGAAAATGTCTCGGGATAGTTGTCATCTTACGTCCGTTATAGGAGAGCTCTTCGCCCACCGGAGTGCCGGTATGGGCGATGGCGGAAACGTCGGCAACGGGGCATTTTCTCGTAGCGCTGGCCAGGGAAGCGGATCCCAGGAGGGCTAGAACAATTGGCTTGCTGAGCATCTTGAATGTTTCTTGGCGAAGATATTTTTGTCAGTTTCGACCTGAAAACGGATGGCGAAGATGACCAGACAAATTCGACTTGGTGGACGACTCTAACTTTAAGTTTCTTACATCCCGTTGCGTTAATGCAGCCCGTTAATGCAGCCCGTCATTAGCCACTGATTACAAATTGCACCGACCAGCAGCCGGGACTTAACTCCGTAGCAGTCCGGACGGAGACGCAGCATGAATGCTACGAAATGTCCATGCTAAGCCAGGCGGCAGGGGACGCTTAGCATCCTTGGAGACGTCATCCAATCTACTATGTATCACCGGCTGCTGAAAACAGTCGTGATCAGTAAGGAGTGCTGGGTGAAAAGAAAGTATGGGTACCAGTGTGGGCTTGGCCAGGCAGCGTGAACCAGTAGCCAAAGTTGAACCTTCTTCGCTGCGGAATCATCCTCCAATTAGAGCCCCTGTAACGCGGGGGTTTGTCTGCTTTTTGCAGGCTTGGCTGCTACGCTGGGCGATGTGATGATCCTTGAATTCCAGGGCCAAGTAGCGCAACACAAGGAATGTTGAAGGGATTGCTGTGTGGTAAGGGAGCTGCATGGGGTAATTGCGAGTTATGAATGGCCCATTCAAAGCCGATTCCGCCACTGTTGTTCTACCCCTCATGGTCAATGATCATCGTTAGCGAGCTCATCTCTCATCCAACTCTGTCAACCCGCATAATGGCAAGCAAATCCGCGGAGGATAACTATAATGGTATAACTGTTTTCATGCATCCAAAAGTCTGCCTAGCTTTAATGATAGTCATATAACAAGTTAATCTTCGTGAATGTAGGCTTCTTAAACAACCCCCAAAAGACCCTCTTTCGCGAATAGCTTCGCACAAAGTGTAACGTTAAAGATGGAGACCCGGTTATACCCGTGAAAATGGTTCAGCAGCGCGCCGCTGACAGGTGGTCCAATAAGAATAGAAAGGGATGCAAACACAATACCCATTTCCACGTAGGTGTCAATATTCTTTGGTGATTTCGGGCATAGCGTAGACACCACCGGGCCGCCCGAGATGATGGCATTAGACGTCAGACCGTAAGTAGGCTGCAGAGAATTCGATAAGCGAGGTTTGGGTCTCAGCCTTTGGCCAACACAGGATCGATATCAGCGTGAGAAGTCCTGCAGCGAAGAGCGTGTGATACGGCTGAGCCTGTCACCCAGGATCTGGGTATGATGCGTCCAAGGATCGAGGTGCCGTTGATAATAACGACAAGGTACGCAGCGAGCGACAGGCTCGTGCCACATTCGATACCAAACGTATATAAGTAGAAGAGTGAAACGAACATACCAACGAACATAAGACACACGCCACCGACCAGGCAAAGATAGAGCTGTTCCTGGAATGTCGTCCAGATGAAGAAACGACTTTTTCGTGGAGGAAATCAGGCCCTGACCCTGAGTAATAAGAATGGGAGAACCGGCATCATGATAAACCCACAGACTCGAACAGACCAGCCGAATCATATAATTTCCAACAGCTCCGACGGCACAATGAGGAATGCAAGTACGCCTAACGAAGAGCCTGCGATGGCGAGGCCCATGGCCGCCCCCTTCCTTTTCAAGAAGTATTGAGGTGTTGCGGCCATAGCTGGGAACATGATCAACCCGTTCGAGATGCCGCTGAGCACGCCTTGGGCGAGCACAGACTGCCAATATTCAAGGCCCAAGCTGGTCATCATGACTGAGAAGATGTATACCATCGCGGCGGGGCGAATAATCTATTTGGTGTTAGCAGCTGCTTTCGAACTTCGGACATTTATCACCTAGTGTCTAGTGTGCGACTTTCCTAATGAGCAGAACAGAATAGCGGTCCACTGTCGGACGTGCCAGCCCGATCTATCGGTATATTACCGACGAACCGCTGAAAATGCCCCGACAAGCAGATAATAACTTTCCCTTATTAATCGAAAAGAGTACCATGAACTCTAATACGATATGAATATGCTGAGTAAATCCGTCTTCCACTTCTGTCTATGTTAACAGCGAGGGCCAAAGGACCTACCAAATAAGACTAACCTACTCGCGGAAACGGAGCTTTGATGCTTGAAAAAGCACTCGATGAGCCGAATCGTAACAAATGGAAGACGCTTTACTTAGGCAGTGTATACGAATGTTCCGAGTAGACTCACCTGCGCCGGATCCGAGATTAGTGTTCCAGTCAGTTTGAGGAGATAAATTCTAGCCCGAGGAACATGGCACTTCTGAATACAGTCCTGCAGTTATGCTTCAGAAAAGTTCGCTGACCAGCGGGTCGAGCAACCTGGCGATATTCCAGTTTCTATTACTAGATTGGTAGAATGAGGTAGCTTGTTGGCGTCTTTTGATGCAAACTTGCAAAGGTTTTCCCAAATGCCGTCTGATCAACAGCCACATGTTGACCTCAGAGCCGGAAGCCTTATTAGACTTAAGACCAATATAACATGCAGCCTAGGTGCAACGATGATGTTATCAGGGTAAAGTGCCATTCAAGGGTCATGTTCGATCTACTTGCCTGTCTCAGCTAGAACTACTTTTATTCTCGCTGCCCGAATTAAAAGATTTAAGCGAGAAGGTTCTTGTCGATGATGCTCTCTACATTTCTACAATCTTTCGTTTGCTCATCATTGGTATTCTTCTTAAAATACGATTAGCAGTGACAAAATTGAAACGGATCCGTTTCTTGTTTGAACAGGGTGGTCGCTCTCCTACAAGTATACCGGCTGTACCCAGTCATGTACGTTGTGCTTGTTACATCCGCTGTTGATGCGATAATACCCACAGCTGGCCCCCCTAAAGTCAAAATTGCAGTTTGTCGCGATGCCCCCTTATGCATCACGCAGTCCTGTGAGATTTCTCCGGTGCCGAAATGGCCATTGCTCCGACCTTTCGGACCTGCCCACGACGTGGGATCCGTGTTTGAACGCTCCGGCCCAAATGATCTCACGTAGAAATCCGATTTTCTACTTCTTTCCCAACCCGGGAGGCGACTCTTCGACACAGTTTACCGCTCTAGCTGCATTCGTAATGCTATACTTTGCAATTGGTTTAGGTGACCAGGCTGTATATGCACTGTCACACTGATGCAAGTCA